TTCCCTATTAACTGACGCTGAAGCCTGTATAACTTATATTGTTTTACCATGACTGATCTTAGTTGAATCTGGTTTGTTAGATTGCTTTTTGGTATCGATAGATTTTATTAAAACTGTTACGATTGATAGTATCAAATCTGAAAGTATAGGCAACTACACTGAAGATAATAAGATTCACTACAATACCCATTCTGGTTTGATTATTATCTGCTTTTGAAGTTTTACACTATCTACAATGTTTTGTTTTTATTAATATTATTATGTACTGCTATATTCAATTATAGTATGCCTGATGATATAGACAATTCTATTGAGAACATCAAGAGACAACACAATAACCATTGTAGAACATCTTGTACTGTGGTTTTATATGGCTTTTTCATTTCATGTTTTTATAGGAATATGTTTTGTTTCTCCCTCTAATATAGAAACAATAGAAATACATATAGAGACTCAGGCATGCGTAGAACCTAAAACAGTTTATGAGAACTGATCTTGTAATGCATGATGAAATGAACAACTACTCTGAAGAAAAAGAGACACTACAATACCCTGTGCTGATCCAGTAGTGTCATGATGTGAAATCCAGCAATACTATTACTATTCTTTGTTCAGAGTGATTTTAGCCTGCTTTAGTTTGTTTAATCTTAACACACATGAAAATATGGATAACTGCATGTGTGTTTAAGTGTATAGGATTATTAACCGTATTGCTAAGTTTTTGTTGGATGGTTGAACAGAACTGTTTGCAGTCTCACTGTCTGAATGTCCACTTTGTATACTTCACTTTTGTAACTTGAACAACTGTTTGTAAGAGGACAATATGTGATTATCAACTAGTGATTTCTCACTATTTTTTCTTTGAAATTATGTATTTTTTCTATGCTTTTCCTGTTTTGTTTATTCTTTCTTTAAATAAAATTTTAAAAATAAATCCTTGGGATCATCTGATGTTAGTACAACATAATATGACTAATTATTAGGGATACAGTATTTATGTGAAAATGTAACTTTTTAAAAAAAATAATTGGAAAAGTCGGTATTGGCAGTGAGAAGTCTTAAGGTAGAATGTTAAAGCTGTTCAGACAGTGGGACTTTCCCCTGGCTGTGGACCAACCCCAGGACAAAGCAGAGCCACCCTTTATGTATATATAGTCGCCTTGCCGTGCGAACAAGAACTGCGTGTGGGGTACTCACTTTAGAAGAAGAAATTGTACAGTTGTAAAAGACATTCCTTTGTATAAAGTAACTTGCTGTGCTAGAAATCACAGTGTTTTAATTTGATACTTAAATGATATTTTGGAGTGAATATTATCACTAAAGTAATATATGACTCCAACAGAAATATTATTTTATTGTTTTAAAGAGTACTGTATTGGTTTGCCAAAAGTTTCATGACTTAGTAAAGGTATTACCCTTCTTAGATTTGTACTTTATGACTTAGCACACTGTACTGGGGGCTTGTTACACTAACTAAATAAAGTCATTACCTGAGTTTTGCAGCATTCTTCAACAGAACATTTAAGACTTAAAGAACAGCTGTTCACATCTGTAGCATTTCACTTTGCTTAACTTATAAAGTACTATATATCAGAATCATGGTTTTGTAATTGCTAAAGCATGTTAGGTCAGCTAATTTGAATACAATTACTTTTTGAAGTTAACTATGACCACAAAACATCTTTTTTACATGAGGAGCTGTACATCATTTGAAATAAGTCAAATTATGTATTGATATGAAGCATAAACCCCACGTATGTAATGTTTTTAAGTACATTACAAACTTACTAATGGCCAAGAAGCAATGGAATTGGGGGGAGGGATACCAGCACTGGAGGAGAAGATTAAGTACATAGCAAGAAAAATGGAGCGGTCTGCACTAAGCAAATTACACTATAGTTTTTATTTATCAGAAATCCTTACTTTGGTTAAAAGGTGGCTATAAGTGAAAAATAATCCAGTAAATGTATTTTGTTTAGTATTTTGTACTGGGAAGTTAACCACAAGTGATATCTTTGATACTTGGAAGTATCGTACACAATTTTTGTTAAAAGATGATTAGCTTTTGCCTTTACAGTGCTTACTATGATCAACTTTTAGTTGGGTTTGTTATAAAGAGATCAACTAACACATCCACATAAATTACAGAAACAGTACCAAACTTTTAAAAATTAGTATTTTTCTACTTAAAATATTGTGTAGCTTAAGAATTCTTAGGACATGGGCCAGAGCTTTAGCTCAGCAGCAAAATCACCTGCCTGGCAAGCATGAAGTCGTGAGTTTGATCCCCGATACAAAAAAATAATAATAAAAATTTAGGACATTTGTAAATTATGCTAAAATTCTGATAGCATTTCTGACTTTTTTTGTACTCAGAGATGGGTTTTACAATTGAAATACTATTTCAACTAAAAAAATTGCCAAATACATATTAAATATATTTGACAAAAAGTGACGTATAATTTCTGTAAATAATATTTGTTCTTTAAAAAGGTATAATGCCTGATGATAAATTATTTTTAAACTTTATCATATACTTTGTTTTTTTATTCTAACTTAATGATAAAACATCTATAACTGTTCAATTTTCAATGTAGTTACATCTGTCTAAACACTTGATTCATGCATCTATTAAAATATAAATAAGTTCACAGCAAGTTTATTGACAAGGACTAATCCAGAATAAAGTGTTGAATACAGCTGTCAAGCATCTTATCCTATTTAATACTGAGATGAACTTACAAGAATTAAAATGGTCTTTGGTTAATAAAGACTTTCATTTAACCATAAATAAGGATGGAAAAAGATATACCATGCAAATAAAAACCAAAAGTGAGCAAAAGTAGCTATACATATACCAGATAAATTGATCCTTTAAATCAAATACTGTAAAAAGATACGAAAAAGGTCATTACATAATGACAAAGGAATAAATTCAACAAGAAGAAACAACAATGGTAAGTATATATGCACCTAGAGTACCTAATTATATAAAACGAACTGGCTAGACTTAAAAAGAGAGAGAGATTATTGCGATCATAATTTTCATCAATGGATAGATCATCCAGCCCTCCTCTCCCTGCCCCCCAAAAAGAAAAGGAAACATCAGGGGTTGACCAGGCATGTCAGTTGCAGCCTATGAGCAACATGTGGCCTCCTTCTAAGACTGTAAATTATTATGCGATTTGTAACAGTATTTCCACGGCTCCATTGTGTGGTCCTCAAGTGTAGACTGCATAGTTAACAAGGGAATGCTGTGTAGGAGGGGGCACGGTGTGGTGCTAACTCCATTTCCTGATCCTGACAGTCAACTGCATCAAGACTTAGTTAGGCACGTGTGGTATCCCGCCCAACCAGCCAGCAACTATGGAACTTACACCTGCCTACATGCATGTAATGCCCTGAAGGCAGGCATTTATTCTTATTATGCAGACATGTAAGTTTTCTTACAATTACAATAATTAAATTTAAATTGGGCTTTGGTATTCCATTTTAATGTCATAATAAAATAGACAGACGAAAGTTTTGTTACATATATTTATGTCTATATGTATACATATATATATATATATATATGTATATTTCCTGCAACAATTCCTCTCCACTCAGTAGCCAGATAAATCAAAAGGTTGGAATATTTATGTTATAGACTAAGTGGACCTAACCTAAGACATATTGCAGAACATTCCATCCAACAGCTAAAAAATAGTCTTCTCAGCAAATAAAACCTTCTCCAGGATAGACAAAGGTTAGGCCACAAAATAGTCTCAAAAATTCAAAATAAACGTAAGTCACAGAATGAGACTTTTCTGACTACAGTGAAATAAAGCTAGGAATCAACAAGAATTTTAGAAATTATAAAATTAGGGAAATTAAACTACTCTCCCTTCCCTCCTCCCTCTCCTCCCTTCCTCTCCCTCTGTCCTTCACCCTCTCTCCCTCACCATTTTCCTTTTTGTGATGAGGATGAAACCCAGGGTCGCAGGCATGCTAGACAAGTGTTCTGGCTTTGAACCACACCCAAGAATTTCTTTTATTCAAAAGAAATTTGTTTTTTGAGACAGAGTCGTACTAAGTAGTTCAGCTGAACTTGAACTCACTTTGTAGCCCAGGCTAGCCTCAAACTTGCCACAATTCTCCTGCCTCAGCTTCCCCCAAATTCTGGAACTACAGGCATGTACCATCACACCCAGCAAAAAATTGCATTTTAAACTTAACACAAAGCAATGCAGTATAAACATGACTTGTGTTTATATTCAAATTAGTGCCATTTTAAGGAATGTGTCAAAGATTTTAAGTATTTCTGTATGTAAAACCAGGAGGTTTTGGGCAAGACAAAGGAAACCAAGAATTATAGACAGGGCTGGGGATATAGCTCAGTAGCACAATGCCTGCCTGGCAAACACAAGATCCTGAGCTCAGTTCCCAGTACCAAAAAACAAACAAACAAAGAATTATACACCAAAAATAGTCTAATGGTCTATGGAAGTTATAGTAGGAACCTTGTTGTGACACATGCCTGTAATCCCAGATACTTGGGGAGCTGAGGCAGGAGGACTGCAAATACAATACCATCTTGGGCAACTTAGCAAGATGCTCTCTCAAAATAAAATGAGGACTGAGGCTACAGATCAGTGGTGGAGTGCTTGCTTAGTATACATCAGACCCTGAATTGGACCACCACTACTCAGGAAAATGAATAATAATAGTAGATATTCTATAAATGTCATAGAAATAAGCACTCAAATATTACTGACTGTATGTGGGAGGCTGAGGCAAGAGGATTGCCAAAAACTGGCAGCCTGTACTACACAGTGAGTTCAAGTCTACCCTAAACTATATACAAGACTTTGCCTCAAAAAAAAAAAACAAAGTACTACTGAATATGAAAATAAGATTTAAAATAAATTTATTTAGCACATATAACTTACAACCTAACATTTTTCTTTTTGTCTTACAGCTCCTCTTAGCTATTTTTAAATTATTGTTTTCTTTTTAAGCTACTTCCGAAGAAAATTCCAGGATATCAGAGCAGAAGTATTGTGGAGTCCAAATGCTATGGGTTATGGGAAAAGAAGATTTAAGCCAGAGATGTGCATGACTTCAGGCTCAAGCACAGCAGCCTTTGCTAATGCCGCTCGAATTGCAATTACAAGTGAAAGGGATTTATTTAAATTTCTTGCAGAGCTTAAAAGTAAGAGCTATTTGTTATATCTCCACTGCTTAAAAGGCTGTTTTAATTTTTTTTAGTACTGTGTGTTTGCAATACATCATAGCTACATCGGTTTTGGAGAACTGGCACATATAGATACAGCATATCTTGATGAGTTTTGATTCCTCCCTTCCTTGCCCTGAACCCATTTCCCATCTTCAATAAGGCTACCTTTTTGTTACCTACCATCTCACCTTTGTTTAACTCTTTCATTCATTTGTTTATGTCTTAGGTTTCCTATATAAGAATCAATATAATATTTAACTGTCTGTATCTGGTTTATGTCACTTAGTGGTCTCAACTTCCACTCATTTTCCAGCAAATGTAATGACTTTCTCTTTTTTATGATTGAGTAGTATTTCATTATGTATACAAGGTCTGATGGAAATATACAGCAAATACTTATATTAAAAAACGTATTACAATCAAAGACTCATTGCCATTAGCCTCCCTCATAATACTCTCCCATCTTCAAACACTTTTTTATCATTCTTGCCACTTCTGAAACAGTTACAGAGGTCCTCTTTCATGACTGTCTTTACAAGTGTGATCAGAAATACAGGGAATGTTACCCAGGGCCAGCTAACAGACAGCCAGTGTCAATACAGTGGTCTTTGTCCACCTTGCTCACCAGATCTGACGTCATGCAGCTTCTGCCTCTCCCCAAAGTCAAAATGACCATGAAAGGTAAACGTTTTGAATAATTCACGATATTGAGTAGCCACAGCAGTGCACATGAAGACATTCACAGGACAGGATTTCTCCTGCTGCTTTAGCTGGGATACGTATGGGATAAGCATGCTCAAAGCAAGAGGGAGTATTCTGAGGGAGATCAATGGTAAAGTGTCTTTTACTATAATAATTTTTTATTTAAACGTTCACCGTATTTTTCAATCACACCTTACATGTTCCACACTTTCTGTACCCATTCATCTGTTGATGGGCAGCTAGGCAGTTTCTAGAGTGTAGCTATCGTGAGCTGTGCTGGTAGGCACAGGTAGGTAAGCATTTGCTATATCACTATACTGTGTCTTTAACTCTTTCAGAAACATATCTAGGTAGATGTGACTGGGTCAAGTAGCATTCCTAGTTTTGGTTTTCTGAGGACTCGCCATACTGAATTTCTATAGTGGTTGTACCAGTTTACATTCCCACCAGTGGTGCAGAAGTGTTCCTTTCCCCCACATGCTCACCAGCATTTGTCATTTTGTATGTTCCTGATAGCCTTGCGGACTTGGGTAAGACGGAATCACAGAGTTGTTTTGATGTTTTCCTAGTAGCTAAAGGTAATTTGGTTTGTCTTGTTTTGAGAAGTGTCTGTTGAGTTCATTTGCCTAGTTTTTTGGATTTGGTCATTTGTTTTTTGGTGGGGTTTTGTTTTTTGAGTACTTTATATATTCTAAATATTAGTGGAGGCACACACCCATAATTCCAGTCCTTGGGAGACTAAGGCAGAAGTACTATGAATTCAAGGCAACCTGGGTTATAAAGTGATTTCAAGGCCAACCTAAACTACATAGTAAAACCCTGTCTCAAAAAAGCTATATAGGGGCTGGGGATTTAGTTCAGCGGCATAAGCGCCTGCCTTGCAAGCAGGCAGTCGTGAGTTTGATCCCTGGTACTGATAAAAAGGAAAAAGACAAAAAAAAAAAAAAAAGGCTATATATAGGGAGGCCCTCTATCAGAAGAGTGGCTAGGTTTTCTGTGTTCTGTAGGTCATCTCTTCACTGTTGATTGTTTGCTTTGCTGTACAGAAACTTTTGGGGGGGGGTACTGGGGATGGAACTCACAACCATATGCTTGCAATGCAGGCGCTTATGCCACTGAGCTAAAAAATCCCCAGCATGTACAGAAACTTTTTTTAAAAACTTTTTTGAGACAGGATCTCACTATGTGGCTAAGGCTGGCCTTGAATTTATAGTGATCCTCCTATCTCAGCCCCCTGAGGCCTGGGATTACAGGCATGTGCCACCATGCCTAGCTATACAGAAATTTTTTAATTTGAATAACTCTATTCATTGATTCTTGGTATTATTGTCTGTGCTACTAGAGTTCTATTTAATAAGGTCTTGCCTGTACCTGTAGTTTCAATGTTTCCCCTAAGTTATCTTCCAAGAGTTTCAATATTTTTGATTTTGGGAGAATCTTTGTTTGTTTTGTTTGTTTTTGTGGTGTTTAGAACTAAACCCAGGACCTTTATACTGAACTATATCCCCAGCCCTTTTTATTATTTTTAAAACAGTGTCTCACCAAATTGCTAAGCCACCCAGTCTGGGTTTAACAGGAGTATTGGAATTACAGCTGCATGGCACCACAAGCTCAAAAATGTTCCTTTTTTACATCCAAGTCTTTATCCATTTTGATATGGCTTTAGTATAGGGTGAAATATATGGATCTAGTTTTAATCTTCTGCATGTAGATAACCAGTTTTCTGAGCACATTTGTAAAGGGGTTATCTATGTGTCTTTTTAGTGCTTGTTATAGCTTGTGTCTGTCTAGATGTCTCCCCAAAGCTTCATGTCAAAGATGGCTGGATCTAGAATGTGTGAATGCTAGGATTAAGTGTGTGATGCTGGGATCAAGACTGTGTGGTTACTAAATTAGTGTGTGATTGGTTTGACATGGGCATGGGTAATGGGAAGGCCCCTCCTGGTGTGAGTGCCACCTGCCCAGGCTTAGGTAGCCCTAACAGAGTATAAGGGACAGAAGAGGTCCCTTCTGTCCTCTCTTGGTGCTTCCCTACTTTACTGCCTTCAAGCTGTCATGCACTGTTTCTCCTTTGCAATGTTACCCTACCTGGGAGTCAACCAACGATGAATTGAAACCTCTACAAATAAACCTTTCCTCCTTTAACTTTGGTATTGAGCATTTTGTCTCGGCAATGACAAAAAGTAAGTAAAACAGCCTCTTTGTCAAAAATCAGATGACTTCAGGTATCAGGGTTGTTTCTGTGTCTTCTATTCTATTCCATTGGTTTATATATCTATTTTTGTATAAATATTATATATATATTTTTGTATAAATATCATCATTTCTTGGTTTTTGGTTTTTTGGCTTTTTATTATAGTTTTGTAATATAATTTATAGTTTGGCATTGTGATGACTCCCATTTTGTTTTTTGTTCTTTTTTTAATGTGTCTGCTTGTTTTATCTTGTTTTTAGACAGTGTTCCACTATGCAGCTCAGGCTGGCCTTGAACTCACTTTATAGCCCAGGCTGGTTTTAAACTCATGGTGATCCTCCTGCCTCAGCCTCTTAAGTGCTAGGATTACAGGCCTGAGCTACCACGCTTGGCCTCCACTTTGTTGTATTTAAGATTTCTTGGCTATTGTGGGTCTCTTCTGGCCCCATATATTATTAGAGTTGTTGTTTCTTCTAGATCAATGATAAGTGTATTTTAGTAGAGTGCATTAAATCTGCTAATCACTTTTGGTAATATGGCCACTTTAATAATATTAACTCTGTCTAACCTGGAACTGAGGATGTTGTTCCATTGTCTTACAGCCTCTTTACTCTCTCTCTTCAGAGATCAATACTTTTTACCACCACAGGGGCCCTTCACCTCCTTGGCTGCATTAAAAGATGTATTTGTCCATGGCTCATCAGAAGTAAATGCTTGAGGGGCTGGGGATTTAGCTCAGCGGCATAAGTGCCTGCCTTGCAAGTGTGTGGTCCTGAGTTCGATCCCCGGTACCAATAAACAAGAAAAAAAGCAACAAACAAACAACAACAACAAGAGAAGTAAATGCTTCAGGCCAAGAGCAGGACTGGAGCCGCCTCTAAGTAACAGCTGTCTGTCAGATACCATTTGAATGCAAAGACACCCTTGAGCTGGGTTCTTAGACACTGGGCTGAAACCTGGAGTAGATGGGTGTGGAGTGGGAAGAGAGAGTGAGGAAGAGGGGTACAGCCCCTGAAGAGAAGCAAGTATTTGTCTTTTTTTTTTTTTTAACCAGGGATTGAACTCAGGACCTTCCGCTTGTCAGGCAGGAAGTTTGTCACTAAGCAAAATCCCTGGCAGTTGTCTCTTATGAGAATTCCATTGTGATACTATTCTTGTTTTTATCTTTTTAGGGTGCAGGTCCCCTTCAGATAGCCCATACTCGAAAATACCCATCTTTCCATTGTTTCCTAATATGGATGGTACGGTAATGGGAAAACCTTTCGAAGACATACAGAAATTAGAAATGCTACGGAGAAAAGAGCCTCTGAATTTCTTTGAGGACTACTTTTTCCAAAAAAGAGACTGGAAAGCACAAGTGAGATTTAGATTAAGTCACATTGATGCTTAATACTTGGATTTTTAAAGTACCACCTCAATAGAACTAATTCCATGGTGTTCATGAAATATGTTTAGTTATATTTCAAACCAATTTCCATATCCATGTTCCTCAATCTAAGCCTAACTGTAAATGCTTCATTTAATTTCAACACACAACCTTACTGGAAATGACAATCCTAGGTTTGGAGTTGGGCAATATAAAGATAATAACAGGGCTGGGGATTTAGCTCAGAGGCATAAGCGACTGCCTGACAAGCGTCAGGTCATGAGTTCGATCCTCAGTACAATAAAAATATTGCAGCTAAAAAGATAATAACAATAAAAGGCCACAGTTCTCCCTTCAGTGCTTCCATTAACTCAGGGACCTGAAGCTGCAGTTTGGACTCTCTCAGCCAGCTCAGGGCTGTGGTTGGGGCAGCCACTAGGAACGAGAAGACAAGGTTCACATCCATGGAGCAGATCTGTCAGAAGGGACCATCGTCTCCTGGACTGGAACCCTACTCATGGTCGTAGCTGTATCTCCTAGCCGGGCCTCACTTTGTTGCCTCTAATCCACTTGCCCCTCTGTGTTTGTTGCCATGAGTTTTAAGGCCTCTGGCAAGTATGCCTAAACGTCCAAACATTCTCTTGGGAGGCTCTGGCCTTGCCTCAGGTGTGTCACAGGCTTCCTAGTCTGTGCAGCAGAATTGAGATTAACATGGAAACCAGACCACACTGTGAGGCATCTCTGAATTCCAGAGGTCCATCTGTGGCTCGCATTATTATGAAATCACCAGAAGGCACCTACAACCATAAAGTATAAGAGTCCCAGAGAAGGGTATCACTTTCACAAATGGCTTCAAAGTCCAAGTTTGTCTTTATATCCCCAAATGAAGTTACACCCAGGAGAATAACACTGACAAGATGGAAATGAGTGAACACTTACCCCCTTTAAGTTTATGCCAAAACTTGAGCCACTCCTCACTGATATATAATGTTTATACTGTCAGTCTCTAGCCAGAATAATACAAAGTTCACATATGCAAGGATTTCATTTCTTTCACTGAGTAACTTCTACCACCTGAACCACAGAAGACTCAGTATTTTTGGTATGCTTTGTTTTGGTTTGGTTTGGTGCTGAGGATAAAATCCAAGGCTTAGCACATGCTAAGGATATACTCTACCACTAACTTAGGCCTTCAATCTCTTTAGAGGGAAGAAATTATAATATGAATATTTTATTAAGAACATACTATATACTAAGATTATCTCTATAACCTTAGCAGAGAGAGCATCAGTATCTTTCTAAATGGTCCTTCAGCTGCTACTTTTGGTACCTTTACTCTGTTCTCAACACAGTAGCCAAAGTAGCTCTATTAAAATCAGTATAAAATCCTCCAGTAGCTTTTCATACCACTCAAAGAAAAAACTCAAACTCTATTATAACTTACAAGGTCTTATACAATTTAAACCTGTGCCTTCCAATTAATGGAAGCTAGTAATGGCTGTTTAAAGTAAGTAAAATTGTAAATATATTTCATCAGTCACACCAGCCACATTTGAAGTGTCCAATTGCCCTATGTGGCATATGGCTACTTTTTTAGATGGCACAAAAATATACAAAATCTCACGTGGAAAGTTCTATTGGGCCCTCACTGTGTATCTCTATCTGTACTATCGCTCACCTCTAAAACTCACTTCATTCCACCTACAAAGTCTCTTTATTGTTCCTTTGACACCTCATACATACTGTCACCTCATATCCTGGCTTTACTGTTCCTCTCGTCATGTCTCTTAGGTCTTGACTGGAATGTCACTTCAGCAGGCCACTGTAACAACCCTACACAGTTCCTACACTGTCATTACATGCCACTGAACACCTCAAATGGTTAATTCTTTGCTTATTTGTTTTGGTTTGGGGGGATTTGTTTTGGGGTTTGTTTGTTTTGTTTTTGTTTTGTGGTTGTATGTTACTGAGGATTGAACCAAGGACCTTAATGCTGAGCTACAACCCTAGCCCTTTTTATTTTTTATTTTGAGACAGGGTCTAGCTAAGTCACTAAGTTGCCCTGACTGGGCTCAAACCTACAACTCTTTTGTCTCAGCCTCCCAGAGTACTGACATAACAGACACACAACACCATAGCTAGCCTGGACTACATATTGAGACCTTGTCTCAAAAAAAATTAAAAATAGAGACACGGTCATCAGCTGAGGAAGTTTGAGTGTCTAGCTTTCCAGCAGCCACTACAAGCACTGTAAGAGTTTTAACAGCAAATGAAGAAATGTCACCCAGTATTGAAAGCCTTGATAAGATTAGGTAATATATACCTTTGTAGGTAATATATACCTACTATAGATATATATATAGCTTTTGATTTTGTTTTTGTTATATAATTCAAACTAAGCTGTATTACTAACTTTCTTTTTAAAAAATTTGTAAAGGCAGCAAATGTAAAGCCTATCAACCCTCCCTTGAGCTACTCAGATGAAATTCTCCTTCTGGACCAAATACTCAAGAAAAAGCAGTCCTGGACAGTGGCTGATGTAGCTGCTATTAAACAGCAGGTGAGTATTCACTGTTGAATGCCTTCCCAGACGACACTGACAAAAATATTTTCTACTTCAGTATTTGTCCCTAAAGTCAAGAGAATTCTTATATGACCCATGTCTTTAAAATGGGACAAAATAGTTTCTCACTTTTGTCCACTGTAATGACATTCTTATCCTATAATCAAATGTTAACTATTATTTTTCACCCAAGTATTTTTCTTAGCATCATTTCTAGGATATTTGTCTGTGTCATTGTGAAGATAACATCCTAATTATTGTAGTAAACTCACAGTCATAGTGAATGGTATACTCAGGAAATCACAATGAATCAAAGTATTATTATTACAACAGCTAAAAGAGTATTAATAATAGCTTTAAAAATGTTCAGACCTTGTACCCTGAGAGTACTCTCTAGGAACTGATGCACTTAATTATCACAATAACCTTCTGAGAGCAGTCACTGTTACCATTCCTTGTCATTTTTCAAATACTATATGCACAGAAAGTATAAGTGACTTGCCCAAAGGCACACAGCTAGTAAGTCAGGTCATGGTCATGCATGGGCAGAGCTGCCCCAGAATACACACTTTTAACCATGACTCTATGCTGCCTGTCTACTTCTTGCCCTGACTGCTGAGCAACTTTTGTACTGTACAGAGAAAACCCCAAATGCATTTACGTCATGCCCCCTCCCTTCTGCACTTGGTACTAATGCCCCAGCTCTGTTCAACACCTCTGCATCCGTGGCCTTTGGATACTGTCTTTCCCATTATCCTTCTAGCTCTGTATTCTTTCCTCTTTCTTGAATCCTTTAAATATTGTACTTTTTAGCTTCTAGTCTCATGCTGCTACTCATCTCTCTGTATACATTCATCCACTCATTTACTCAGTAAATGTTTATCTAGGACTTCTGAGATTAGGAGATATCACAGAGAGAAAAACACAAATCCTACCCTCAGTAAGTCTGAAAAGAGGGTAGTAGTCCTGGAGAAGGAAATGAACAACAATAATGTATTGGGATAAATAAAACTACAGGTGATCAGTAGTGCATACCACAGAACACTGAGGAGTGTGCTCCTGATCACGGCACGTGTGCACCTAAGAGTAAATGAAGGGTGTGTGTAGCCAGAGGCCTCCAGCTATCCCAAGAACTGAGAAACAAGGAAACCAAAACTTTGGCCGAACACTGGGGCTATCCCTATTAGGTGAGGGAACAGGTAGGGTGTTGCTTCTTATTTCAACTGGCACCTATGTACTGATACCTCTTTAAACTGTCCCTAGCCTATACTTCCTTCCTGTGCTACCGTCTCATCCCACTACCTGACACTCATTTCCACGTCTAGGCCATGTCTTATGGCACAGAAAATCCAACATGTACTAAAGCAGTGCATCATCATCTACATCCAGCTGCCTCTCCCCTGAGGTTTCTGTATCTCAACTGCAATACCACCATCTACTCAATCACTGAAGCAAGAGAGCCACGAGCCATCTTTATTTCCTTATTCTCTACATCCACCAATCACCAGATCTAGCCTTTCTCACTGGGGACATTTTGCAAGTCTGTTCCCCCTCCACCATATCCCTATTTCCTCTTCCTTCATGAGGCCTTCCCTAGGTAATAATGCCTGGACAGTAGCCTCCGACCCAGTATTCTTAGCTGCTCCCCTCCAGCCATTCTCCACAGAGCTGCTCGTGATCCAGCGTGAAGATCTAATCATGTCAGTGTTGTGCTTAAAAGTAAAGACTTCCCTCTTGGCCTTGGATGGACTACTGCACCCACTTGATGAAACTGTCGCATTTCCATTACAAACAGTGGCTCACTCAGCGTGATTTTCATGAAGAAAGCTGCTCCTCAATCACATGGAGACCGCGGCCTGACACATCTATGGGCCTGCCTCTCCTCCGTCATTACTCCCTTTAAATGTGACACTCCAGCAGTACTAAAGCCAAACACTTTGAGATGATGTTTGACTGCCTTTCAGCCTTCCTACACTGTCTCTTCTTCCAGGCAAAACTTTTCCACTTCTACCTCCTCCCTCAATTTTATCAAGTCTTTATGGATTTAGTTCAGCATCTTCTCCTGTCCTATGGTGAATGAGGTACACAGTTGTACCCTACCACTAACTGTCTCTCACTTCCCCATAGTTTAGCCCATTTTATTTTAACATGTTTATAAAAGTTATTATCTCTTTATTCCTAAGTAACACATTTTAGTTGTCTATCAACTCTTAGCCCCAAGTCCTCTGGAATTATTATCAAATGTATAGATCAACTCATCTTCAAATACATTACTCTTGGGATATCTAGAATTGTAGTCCACAAATCAAGACACCAGATGTGGATGAAGTATGTGTAATTAAAAACTACTACAGTAAAAGACAGATTGACATTAATCTCCCTCAAAATATTTCCCTTAGCCAGGGACCAAGCTCAGCAGCACAAGCACGGCCCTGGCAAGCACAATGTCCTAAGTTCAACTCCCTGTACCAAAAAAAAAAAAAAAAAAAAAATTCCCCGTTTTGATAATTTTTATTTTGTTTATTAGCATATGTTTACAGTACATAGTGATTATATTCCTAGTGGAGAGTTGGTACATATACATATACATCTCAATTCTTTTCACTCTTCCCTTCTATCCCATTTTATTTTGTTTGTTTTGTTTTTGAGGGGGTTTTTTGGCCAGTATCAGACTCATTTAATTTTTAGGAGTATTTAGAAGAATTTAGAAGTAATTAACTTATCCAGTTAATTATTATAAACACAGATTGTCAGTCAGACTGACAGGCCAAAAACACATAAAACACACAAGACAATGGCACTAAATCAATGTACACTTTAGCCCCTTTGACTGTGCTAGATTACAATAACTTTTTTCCTCTCTTTTTATTTTCTTTTGACTTTTATTTTGCACTTTATGTATATGCTGAATTTTTCATATGAGAACCACACAATATTTACACTTACATGTCTGATTTATTTCAGTTAATATTATCATCTCGTGGTACACCCATTTTCCTATAAATGACTCATTTATCCTTCTTTATGACACAACAGTACTCAATTGTATATGAATACCACATTTTGTTTATTCATTCATCTGTTGGTTAGGCATATAGGCCATTTCCAAGATTAAGACTTAAACCTGGGTATGCCTTTATCACTGTAATTTGATATCTTTATCTCTTTCAAGAAGATACCTAAAAGGGGAATACCTGGGTGAAGTGGAATTTCTATTTTTAGTTTCTTGAGGAATCTCCATACTGATTTCCTTAGTGGCTGTACCAATTTACAAACCCACCAACAATGAAAAGGTGCATTTTCCCCATAGCCTCTCCAGCATTTGTTATTGATTGATTTCTTGATGGAGCAAGTATTCTTTCTAGGGTAAGACACAATCTCAGTTTTGCTTGAATTTGCATTTATTGAATGGCCAGTGATGTTGTACATTTTCATGTATTTTATTGGCTATTTGTACTTCTTCATCTGAGAAATACCTATTCATTTTAGATGCATATTTTTTAACTGAATCTTTAAATTTGAGGCATTCAAAGATTTGTTTTGTTTTGTTTTAGTTCTTTATATATTCTAGATGTAGTCCTTTGAGAAGTAGCTGGCAAAATATTTTTCCCATTATGTAGATTCCTTTTCACTCTGTCGGTTGTTTCCTTTGCAATACAGAAGTTTTTTAATTTGATGTGACCCACTTATTGATTCTTGGTATTATTCCTCATGCAAAATGGATTCTATTCAGAAAGTCTGCCTACATGTCTTCAAGAGTTTTACATATTTTACCTTCCAACAGATTGCTCCATTTTAATATTTAGATCTTTGGTCCATTTCAACTTTAGTTGAATGTGTTCTCACTGGCTTGCACCTCCGGTGGGACACACATAACAGTCCCATTGGGAAGCTTGTACCATCCAATGGGACTGTCCCATGCCACCCAATGGGGCAGTCGTGCATATACTAATGTAGCAGGAAAATAACATGTTTGAATTAGAGCTGCCCTGGAGCGAGACATACAAATTATAGCTGCTTCATGAATGTTTAATAGATAGTAAGAGATATTGGTCTACATTCAATCTTTGGCATAAATATAGCCAGTTTTCTCAGCACCATTTATTAAAGAAGGCTACCTTTGCTCCAGCAAAAGTGTTTGGCCCTTTTGTGGAAGATAAGGTAGCAGAGTGTGCTTGGACTTGTTTCTGCACCCTCTATTCTTCTCACTGACCCACATGTCAGTATTTTTTTCAGTACCATGTTGTTTTTATCACTGTTGTTTTGAAGTATAACTTGAATTTTAGGACTGTGATGCTTTGCCCTCATTGCTTTTGCAATGGTAGCAATCTTCTGGTTCCATATAAATTTTAGAATTGCTTTCTCTAGTTCTGTAATGTTTAGAATTATGATTGGGATTACCATAAATCTGTATAACAGGTTTGAAAATATGGCCATTTTCACTGGATTGGTTCTGCCTATCCAGGAACAAGGAGTAACATTCCATTTTCTGATACCTTCTTACCTCCTTTGCCAGAGAGCTGTAGTTTTTTATTGAGAGGTCTTTCACTTGGTTAGGTAAATTAATTTTACTTGTTGCTATTGTGAAAGGTATTTTTTTCCCTAATTTTCCTCTCAGCCATTCTATTATTGGTGAACAGGAACACTATTAACTTTTAAATGTTGACTTTGTATCCTACTATGCTACTGAATTTGATTATTAATTCTAGGTGTCTTTTGGTGGAGTTTCTGGGGCTTTATATGTGAAAGATCATGTCATCTGCAAATAATGATAATTCAGCTTTTTCTTTGCCTATGCGCATCTATTTTATTTCATTCTGTAGTCTAACTGCTCTGGATAATGTTTCGAGAACTACACTCAACAGGACTGGTGATAGCGGACGTCCTTGTCCTTTTTTTTTTTTTTTTTTTTTTTTGCCAGCCTTAGGCTCACTTTGTAGCCCAGGCTGGTCTTGCACTTTCAATGATCCTCCTGCCTCAGCCTCCCAAGTAGTGCTGGGATCACGGGAGAGTGCCATCAGCCCAGCTCCTATTTTTTATTTTAGAAAGAAAGCTTTCAGCTTCTCTCCATTTAGTATCATGACAGCCATTGTTTTGTCATAGATGGTGTTTATCAGATTTGAGATAAATATCCTCTGTATTGTTTTCATCATGGTTTTATCATGAAAAGATGTTGGATTTAGCCAAATGTTTTTCTGCATCTATTGAGAAGATCAGGTAATTTTTGTCCTTGGTTCTGTTTATGTGGTATATTAAATTTATTGATTTGCATCTGTAGAACCATAACTGCATCCCTGGAATGAATCCTACTTGGTCATGATATATAACCTTTTCTATAATTTGTTGCATTCTATTTGTCAGTGTCTTACTAAGGATTTTTGCAGCTATGTTTAGTAAAGAGATTGGTCTAGCCAGCCATGGTGGTGCATGCCTAATTCCAGCATTCAGGAGACTAAGGCAGGAGGATCACAACAAGCTGGAGGCTATCCTGGACTACAAAGTGAGTTCAAGTCCACCCTGAACTTCACAGTAAAAACTTAGTCTCAAAAAGACAGAGAGAAAGAGAGACAAAGAGACAGAGAGACAGAGAGACAGAGATTGATTCTTTTTGAGAGGGTTCTTTTGTGGTTTGGAATCAGAGTAATGTTTGTTTCCAGGAATGACTTTAGGAATATTGCTTTCTTTTCAATTTCATTAGAGTTTAAGGAATGTTGCTGTTAGATCTTATCTAAAATTCTTTTAAAATTCAGTACTTAATCCATTGGCTCTTGGGATTTTCTAAATTGTTTTTTTATTACTTCTTCAATTTCATTGATTGATATTGGATTATTCAGGATTTTTATATCTTTTTGTTTCAATTTGATAGTTCATGCATATCTAGCAATCTATCGTTTCTTCTAAATTTCCCATTTTAGTAGAGTATGCTATCTCAAAGTAATTACCAATGATTTCCTGGATTTCAGCAGAATCCACTATGATTCCTCCTTTTTCAATTTCTAATCACATAAATTTGGGTCTTTCTTCCCTTATTGTTGTAAAACTGGCTAAGGATTTGTCTATTTTGTTTATGCTTTCAAAGAAGCAACTCTTCATGTATTGACTTTTTAGTCTCAACGTCATTAATTTCTGCTATGATCTTTGTGATTTTCTTCCTTACAGTAGCTTTGGATTTGGATTGTTCTTGTTTTTCTAGAACATTGAGATGCATCATTAGGTTATTTGAACTTGCTCTATTTTTTGATGTAGACATTCACAGCTATAAACTTAGGACTGCTTTCGTTGTGTCCCATAAATTCTGGTATATTTTACTGATGATATTATTTGATTCCAGGAACTGTATGATTTCTTTTGTGACCCCTGAGTATTCAAGCAGGCATTGTTTCATTTCCATGTGTTCACATAATTTCGGTGGTTTATTTTGCTGTTGATTTCCTGCTTCATTGTGCTATGATATGATAATATGTATGAGATCATTTTTATTCTTTGGCGCTTATTTAAGCATGCCTCATAGGCTAATGTATGTCTCTTTTGGAGAAAGATGCATCTGCTGCTAAGAAGAATATGTTCTGCTTTGGAGTGGTGCACTCTGTAGATACCTGTTAAGTCCATTTGTTGGAAGGTTTGGTTCAACTTCTTTGGTGATTTTTTTGGTTTATATAATCCGTCAATTTGTAACAGTTACATACTAAGGTTTCCCACTACAACTGTTGGCTCATTCTTTATATCCAGTAGTGTTTGTTGTATAAAATTGAGTATCCCAGTGTTGTGTATATATATTAATCTTCGTTATCTCTTCTTGTTGAATTGCTTCCTTAACCAACATGCAGTGACTTTCTTTGCCTCTTTTGATCACTTTTGGCTTGCAGTCCATTTTTTCTGAAAATAAGATACCTGCTTCTACTTGTTGGGGACTCCCATTGCATTTAATATTATTTTCCATCCTTTAATTTATAGCCTATGAATTTATTTTTGGATTAAATGTTTCTTGTGTACTGCGTATTATTGGATTTTGTTTCTTGGTCTATTCTGCCATTCTATATCTTTTGATTGGGGAATCAAAACCATTCACATTTAAAGTTATTAGTGAAAAGTATTAACTTATTCCTGTCATTGTATTGTTTTCCTGTTGCCGATTCCTTCCCCCACCCCTTCTACTTAACTGCTCACTCTGCCTGGTATATTCATTCTGTTGGACTTCCTGGCATCATTGACTTCATTCTTTTTCTAGGATATCTTTGAAAAGGTTTTGGAGTACTACTTTGATGGTCATAAATTTTTAAAGTGTTCTTTGTCATAGAAATATCTTATTTCAGGCTGGGGATTTAGCTCAGTGGCATAAGCGCCTGCCTGGCAAGTACAAGGTCATGAGTTCATAATATATATATTATGAATATTTATGAATATGAATATTTATATATATATAATTATATATATATAATTTTTCCACCAGTTTTTAACAATGGTTTGACAGGACATATCTGTCTGTGTCGGAAGTTGTTTGTTTTAGGGCTTAAAATACTTCACTCCATGATCTCCTGACCCATACAATTTGTGTTGAGAAGTCTGCAGTAATTCTGATGCATTTTGTTGCTCTTCTGATAACTTTCATGATTCTGACCTTGGGTAGTTCTTCTGGAATTTTGGTTTTGATGTGTCATAGAGAATTTTTGTTTGTGTTGCTTGCCTTATTTGCTTGTTTGAGACAATGTTTCATTTTGTAGTGCAGGCTGGCCATGAACTCACTATGTAGCTCAGACTGGTCTCAAACTCACAGAGATCTTCCTGTCTCAACCTCTTGAGTGCTGAGATTACAGGCATTCACCACCACATCCAGCTGAAAAGTTGTTATACATAGTGAGCACCGCCTTGGATTTCATTTCCAACTCTAGCTTGCTATGTGGAAGGAGTCACTTTGGAATAAAAGCTCATACTGTTCTGCTGTTTACTATATCTGTTGGGTTTTCCTGGAGCAAATGCTGCTGGCCCAGTCCATTCTTTTTCCCTGAAGCTGCCAACCCTCTAGGCTTTCGGTCGCATCTATGACCAGGTCCGTCAGTCAATCCACACCTCTGCTGTCCCATGCCAAGGGGGAACAAAATGCAAAGCAGGTTCAGTGGTGGCCAGTATCTGCAACCAGGATGCAGAATCCATGGGCAGGGTATTGTCAAGCGATGAACATGACTCTGATGAGTTTCAAGTCTCCAGATCCCCTGGCTGCCTCATCTGTAGTCAAGGTTTCCTGTAGGTGTGAGCAGCCTACTCCCTTACCTCTAGATTCAGCCACTATGTTTTTTTCTACTCAAATAAGAGGAACACCTTCTTACTTTGAACATACTTATCACATTGTTCCTGCCACTTTCTGAAGCGGTTCTAAGTTCTCTTTCATAAGTGTCTTCATACAGCAAATGCTGTCCGGTGCCATCCAACAGAAAAGCAGGCTTTTAAAAACACTGAAGTGTATCTTCATCTACTTTATTTACCAGATCTGGCCTCATACAACTTTCTGATATCCTCTAAAGTCAAAATGACCTTGAAAAGTAAAATCTTTAAATTGACTCAGGACATTGAAGTAGCTACAACAGTGCAACTAAAAACATTCACAAAACAGAGTTGGTATGGTGGCACATACCTGTAATTCCAGCACTTGGGGGACTGAGACAGGAGGACCACTGTGAGTTCGAGACCAGCCTGAGCTACAAAGTGAACTCAAGGCCAGCCTGAACTGCATAGTGAGACCTTGTGTCAAAAGACAAAAAACAACATAAAACAGGACTTCTTGAACTGCTTCAGAAAACAGCAAGAACAATGAAATAAGTATATTAGAAACAAAGGTGAGTATTTTGAGGGGGATTGATGGCAATGGATCTTTCATTGTAACACATTTTCAAAAATTTATTTATTTTATTTTTTGATGATTGTCTTAGTTACTTTTATCGTTTCTGAGACAAAATACCCAACATGTAAAGGGAGGAAGGTTTATTTGGCTTACAGTTTGAAGAGGTTTCAGTCCATAGTTTGCTGGCTTAAAGCAGGGTGGTATTGCAGAGGACCACTGAAGAGAAGATACAGTTCATGGTAGGTGGAAGACAGCAAAAGCAAGCAAGCAACAAGCATGGCTCTCTTCCTGTCCCTTATATATTATCCTTACATCTTTTGTGCCTTATATCCTAAGGGTTTCCTTTACCCTAAATCTTTACAAGTCAGTAGATACCATGCTATTAGTCCCTTACGAGCAAGTAGAATTCACATCCTTAATCCTAGCATTGCATCATGAGTCAATTCCAATGCGCACGCTCTAGATCCAGCCACCACTGAAAAGTTCCACTATGACATGAGGCTTTGGGGGGGTCATCTAGACACAAGCCATAACATCACATATTCAAATAACAGGTAAACTATCTTTAAATAAGCAGGTAAACTTCTGTTCTCTTGTTGCAGGTGAAGAGAGCTAGAGATAGTTATCATTTAGGAATTGCTGTTGAACACCAGAAAGGAATGCTCGACCTCTGGCAGAAGATAAGAGGAAATTTGATTGGAATAGAGACTAAAAATGAGTCTTTTTATGAAACTTTTTCTACTTATACATGGTCCTGGAATGTTTGCCAAGAATTACTTTCTCCTAAGGACTTGAGGTTGTACGATGCCTATATGAACAGAAATTCCTACCCCCACTCTGGATTTTTTTCCTCATCAGATAACAGTGAATGTGACTCAGAGACAGAAAGAAAAAGAAAACGGAAAAGTTTCAAAGGGTTTCGACAATGAAATTTCTGTGTTTTCTAACAGCTCATCGAAAACTACTTTTTCATAATTATCAAAATTATGGTTTCTTGCTTTACTCTTGAACATTCTTAGCAGCTGGAAACTTTGACATCTTTTGCATTCCAACCAGTAAAAAAGCTTAACTCATAAAATGGTCTCCTTTTTCCTAAGTCTTTACAAATCAGTCAACAGCATGCTATTAGTTCTGGCTGTGTTCTGCTGCCCCCATCTGGCATAAAAGAACCAGACAACAGCAGGAAGGAAAAAAATCCACGCATGCTGAGGTCCTAAGGAATAAACATCTGAGTTTTGAGTGACTGTAAATGAAATTCACTTTTCAAATGTTTGTGAAAGAAGACTGAGAAAGCAGATGACAATAAACTTTCCATTTCAGGGAATAATATCACCAACCCTCCTACCCCAATTACCATAAAGAACAAATCTTTTTAAACATTATTCTAAAAACACATGATCCAGAAAAAAGAAAAGGAACCAAGTGTGGTGGTGCATTCCTGAAATTCCAGTACTCAGCAGGTTGAGACAGGAAGATAGCCATGAGTTTGAGGCGAGCCCAAACTGCATAACGCCCTAGGAGGCTGAAACAGGAGAATCACCTGGAGTCCAAGGCCAGAACTATTCTCACTCTGGTGGTCAGACTGACCTTAAACTCGGCTCAACCATCCTCCTGCCTCAGCCTCCCAAGTAGTTGGAACTACAGGTATATAATCACCTCCCCTGGGTAAGAAACTTAAAAGTAGCTTAAATGTTCAGTATGTCATGATACAGTTATATAAATCAATACCAGAGTCCATAACAATGACACTGTAAAAGAACATCTCAAACGACAAAATAACATTCACAATTAAGTTAAAAAAACAAGTGATAAGCTGTGTATCAGTGGCACATGCCTGCAGTCCCAGCACTCTAGGAAGACAAAGCAGGAGGATTGACAGCTCAAATCCGGCCTGAGCTCAAAATTTTAGAAAAGATAATAAATCTTGTTAATGGTTGGTGGTAGTTGCCAAGTAGGATGCAGATAACAATGCCCACATGGGAAAACATGTAGTAATAAAAAGTTTAAAAAATAGAAATCCGGACAAACCCAACGTGTGGTGAGGACAGAGGACCACAAGTTTATGCACAGACTCGGCAACTGAGTGGGAATCCATCTCAACACAGAAAATAGAAAGGGCTGGGCCAGGGATATGGCTTAGCAGCATAAATGCCCGCCTGACAAGTGCAAGGTCCAGAGTTCAATTCCTGGTGCAAAGAAAAGAAAAGGGGCTGGGGATGTAGCTCAGTGGGAAGGCCCTGGCTTCGGTGCCCAGCACACACACAAAAAGATCACAAATTCCAAAATTCTTTTAACATGACATTGGTTTATATAAATTAGGAGGAAAAAAAGTTGACGGAAAGGATATAAAACAAAGTGTTAATGAGTTAACTGCATGCTGAAATATTTTCTCACATCTTATCTAAATCTATTTTACAATAAGCATCCATTTTGCAACAGGAAAAAGACACAAACTACTTTTAAAGTTGTTAAACCAGTTTATACAATTTCTAGGGCTATTAAAGGGTTCTAGGTCCTGTGAAACCTCAACTAGAGCAAATTAGCATCAAGGACCCTTTCCCAGGTTTAAGTTCCGTGTAACATACTTAAACAGCCAGAAGTTTTACCGATTGGAACTGAAAGAAAAGCACAAAACAGCTGCCTTTGTCCTGAACTAACACCCAGAGGAATAATCCAGAATGAGTACTTTTAATTTTAAAGAGATTAAGACCAAAGAGGACATAACAAAGCAGATCAGATCAGAACAATGCAAGCAGCACAGCATTTTACCACAAGACAACCCATAATTAACAGTAACTACCAGAATGTCTCTTTGAAATAGTTGAGCTTATATCTGATAGTATCAAACAAAACAAAACAGTATAAAACCATTCAAGAGAATGAAAGCATTACAGGGCTTTCAGAACCAAATAACAGAGAATGAACAATGGCTACTACATTTTCTCATTTTCCATAGAAAATTGTTTATACTATCACACGTAATAATATCCAATAAGATGGGGCTGGAGATTTAGCTCAGCGGCATAAGCGCCTGCCTTGCAAGCAGGCAGTCGTGAGTTCGATCCCCGGTACCGATAAAAAGGAAAAAGAAAAAAAAAAAAAAAATCCAATAAGTACAACGTGATAGAACCAAAGGAAACAGAAAAACAAAAGCATAGTAGGACTTCAGAGTAAGATGATATTAAATCAGCACTGGCTATTCTAATGTCTTGTTTTCTTCAAAATAGCTGTTCATCCTATCACAGGTAATAAACAAACCAGGATAAAACCATTCCAACTAATGAATACAAACATTATAAGGCTTCAAAGCAATGTAATGGGAAATCATGATTACCATAAACTCTCATGTACTCTTACCATTTCTTACACTAGGGAGACTAGAGCCAGGCGTGGTGGCTCCATACCTGTAATCCCAGTACTCGGGAGGCTGAGGCAGGAAGATCGTTGCAAGTTCAAGACCAGCCTGGGCTACAAAGTGAGCTCAAGACCAGCCTGAACTGCACAGTGAGACCTTGTCCCAAAAAAAGACCAAAAAAAATGTTTAAATACTAGGGAGACTATACAGTTATTTATACATGTGAGTTTGATTAATTTCACGTATGAGTATGGTCTCAAGTTGCATCCATTTATTTATATATTATCAATGTGATCATTCTTTATAGCTGAGTAGTACTCCATTGTATAAAAATACCACAGCTTTTTTTATCCATTCCTCAGTTGATGGACACTTAGAGTGTTTCCAAGATCTATTACAAATTGAGCTGCTATAAACATGGGTACATATGTATCACTGTGGTATGATGTTTTCAGTTTGGCTGGGAATATGCCTAGAAGTGGAATAGCTGGGTCGAATGGGACTTCCAATCCCAGCTTTTTGAGGAATCTCCAGACTGAGCTCCACAGTGGTTGCACCGGTCTATACTCCCACCAACAGTGCAGGAGTTCCTTTTCCCCCACAGCCTCTCCAGCATTTGTTGTTGGTAGTGTTCTTGATCCTGGCCATTCTTTCTGGAGTGAGATGGAATCTCAGTGTTATTTAATTTGCATTTCTCTAATGACCAATGACGATGAACATTTTTTCATGTATTTATTTGCCATTTGCATTTCTTCATCTGAGAACTGTGTATTCATCTCAGATGCCCATTTTTGGATTAGGTCTTTGAATTTTGGGGGTCTGATTTTTTTTAAATTATGTTTTAGACAGAAGTCCCTTGTCTGAGGGACAGTTTAACTTTTAGTTTTGAAACCATGCCACTCACTGAACTAAGTTAGCATTATTCACCAGCAGAGGGACCCTCAGTGCCTCTGAAAGGGTAGTATGAAGTCTGACTCAAGAAAACAACCATCTCTTCTAAACTTCTAAAAACTTGTATTAGAAGTGTCAAAAGATATAAAACAAGAGTTTTACAGGTCAAAGCTAACTATATCAAGTCACATTTAGGATACTTTTTAAAAAGTGTTTCACAAAAAAAAAAGACAAGGGCTAGACATTTTAAATAGTTCCAATTATTGAAACTAATACACTAATTTTAAGTAAAGACAGAAATTCAGCTTTCTGCAAGAAAATATGTAGTGAAAATGCTGAAAGGGAACACATAGCTTTTAGTGGGGAAGTGGAAGCGGGCCTTACATATTAAAAACAAACATAAAGTAGCCATCATATCGACAAAGAACTGGCCTTGAGAAATGATAGCAATTCTCATAGTTTTTGAAAAAGAGCTTTTGTTCAAAATGCCTCAAAAGATCATGAGAATGCTGATGTCTTTAAATAAAGTATATGTTCTTCACTATCTCTTTAATTAATTCACATCTTTTTCTTCATAATAGAAAGCTTGTTCCCACTTCTTTGGTAGGAAAAGTAGTATATTTTTGTTTTTCAGGGGGGTTCTTCTGAGACAGGGTCTCACTATGTAGTGCAGGCTGTCCTTGAACTTACTTTGTGGTCCAGGCTGGCCTTGAACTCGGAGTGATCCTCTTGCCTCACCTTGCTGAGTGCTGGAATTATAGGAATACACCACCATGCCTAGCTAGTAATGTCATTTTTACCCTTACTTTTACTTATAAAAAGTACATACAATGAAGCCAAATATGATGGTGCATGTCCCAGTACTATACTTCGTGAAGTTGAGGCAGAAGTATCACAAATTTGAGCCCAGTCTGGGCTCAAAAGACATTTTAAAAGGGATGGATACGTAAGTAAATGCAAAGGTCCTGAGGTTCAATCCCTTATACCGCAAAATCAATCAATCTGCAATGGAATATCAATGTACTATTGCCTAGTTGGGCACTATTTATTAACCCTTTCCTTTCTTTCTAAATATGCAATACATCTCTTGCATGTCTTCTCAACCAACTTTAAACAGCACATTTTCTTCTATATTTTGTGGTAATGATGGAAACAGAAATACAGGGCTGAAAACGTTTACATACTTACATACAATATTACAAAGTAGGTGAATGTATTAGTCTTGACTGTCTGTGCTAATTAAGCCCGGCCCTGGATGACTAAAAAATTCACATGATTATACAAATTTTTAAACTTATTTATTTGAGTTGATGGTTAAACCTAAATTTCTTGGAATTCATTTCACATCCCCTAAAATCCTGACCACCGCAAAAAGCATCAAATGTGAGTAGCTGACCAGGGAAGATGAGCAATTGCCATTTTCTCCTGTTGCTTGTTACCATCTTCGATTCTGGCTATCAGCTCCACAGTGGGTCTAGATATCCTTATCTCTTGGAAATAACTTAAAATAGTTTCTGCTTTAGCCAGGCGTGATGGTGCACGCTGGTAATCCCAGGGAGTTGAGGCAGGAGGATAGCCAGCTGGCGACATGCCTGGGCAATTTAGTGACTAACTTTTATTTTCAAGGCTTGGGAATGTAGGTCCTGGGTTCAATCTCATATATATGGTAAAAAAAAAATTAAATAATAAAAAATTAAAAAAGAAAATAACTACCTAAGGGAAAACTGACGAAACCTCTAAGATTCCGGTTCAAGTGCAAGGTCTCCTATTTTCTTCCCACTAGCGCCGCCTCGAGGAGAACGATTCTAGGAAAAAAGCCGCCAGTTTGGTCCCTTTTCCCGGAGACTTCTTCCCCAATTCAGGCCCGACCTAACAGATGAAAACCCAGAGCCAGGCTGGATCTAGCACCCAAACCGGCCCAGCCCTTCCACCTTCTTTTCCCACCCAGAGGCCGCACCTTCCGGAAGGGCGTGGTGTTCGGCCGGAAGTTCTCGAGTGACGGACCAGAAGGCACTTCCGGCTCCGGTGGCATGGCTGATCCGTGCCTGGAGGATGATCCTGCAGTGCAGGGCAGGAAGAGGGAACCGTTCGGAACCCGCTTCCTGAGCGATCCGTCGCGTGTCTTCTACCACAATGCCTGGTAACTGCCCTGCCCCTTGCCAGACCTGCACCTCGCCTCCGTCCCGCCCCTCCTGAGCGCTGCGAGAAGCGCTAGACCACTCGGCCACTAGCAGCTACCCTACCCGAGGTGCTCTCCTCCCAGCTGTACTGCCCCTAGCAGAGACGCGAGGCCTTTAAGCCGCACGTTTGTTTTTCCCAGGGACAATGTGGAGTGGACGGAAGAGCAGGCTGCGGCGGCGGAGAGAAAAGTGCAGGAGAACAGTGCCCAGCGCGTGTGCCAAGAGAAACAAGGTGCGCCCAGGTGGGACCTCGGGGTTGTCGACGGCCAGCTTAGGACTGGACGCGCCTCCCGGAGAGCCCAGTGAACTGCGGCTGCCAAGATTCTTTGTTACTGGCTTGACGCCGAACGGGAGAGGAAGGGGACAAGAGAGGAGGAAAAAGGGTGGCTTTTTAACAAAATCTTACCCTGACTTGAGAGTTCTTTGGTTTTGTTTTAGGGTATTTTATTTTTGTTTTTGCTTTTATTTTTTGGTACCAGGGATTGAACTCAAGAACTGCACTTGCCTGGCAGGTGCTTTTGCCACTGAGCTGAATCCCTGACCCCCAAAAAAGCTAATGCACAGTATATGAAATCCTTTTTTTTTTTTTTTTTTTTTGGTACTGGGATTAATCTCATGATGTGGCATTTGCCAGGCAGGCACTTATGCCACTGAGCCCCTGTTTTAGGGGTTTTTATGGTTTTATTTAGGAAAAAGTGTTTTCGGCTGGTTGAATTTGAACCATGTTGGTGGCAACCACGTGATCAGGTTTAGAGGATGTACTTTATGTATTATTTACACTTGGCTTAAAAGTTGCATTGAAACTATATTTGACGGGGCTGGGGATTTAGCTCAGCGGCATAAGCACCTGCCTTGCAAGCAGGCAGTCATGAATTCCATCCCTGGTACCGATAAAAAGGAAAAAGACAAAAAAAAAAAGAAAGAAACTATATTTGATTTGACCAGATTCTAAACGGTAGTGCAAGAAGAGATTAATAACTGGTGCTAATGTATCTTTGAAGCAGGACAGTTGACATTAGATATAAAGAAGTTTCTGAGACTAACAAAAATTCTTGAATGTTTACAGTTGATTATGAGGTTAATGCCCATAAATATTGGAATGACTTCTACAGAATTCATGAAAATGGATTTTTCAAGGATAGACACTGGCTTTTCACGGAATTCCCTGAGCTGGCACCTACCACAAACCAAAATCACTTGAAGGATTTGATCTTGGAGAACAAGAAAGATGAAATTTCTGACTACCAAAACAGTAAAGATGGACCTGGTTTAACAATAGAACAACCCAAATGTTCTTCAACTGGCCTGGGACATAAAACACAGACACCTCCTGAGGAAGAGACTGTCCCTCAGAAATTGAGTCACCTGCAAATTTGTGCTGATAAACTACCTGGATCCTCAGCCACCTACCGAATACTTGAGGTAACCTCATTGTATTGTCCTGGTAGTAGGGTTAAACTGTCATATCGAGCACACAGCCCCTCCGCTTCATAATTGCTAAGATCAGGCCAGGGGCACAGGTGCCTACCTGGCAAGTGCATGGTTCTGAGCTCGATTCCTAGTATACCCCCAAAAAGTAGTAATAATTGCTGAGATGGAGAAGTGGATAAGAACAGTGCCTGGTACGTAGTAAGCACTCAGTACATTGTTAGGGATTTTATTACCTCATATGATACTCTATTTAAAACAAAGTTACCATGCTTCTCTTTTTCTACACTTTTCAACTTGATCTGTTTTTCCAATAATGGAGCTCAGTAAGGAAATATTTCATTTTGAGCCAGGTATGGTGACACACATTTATAATCCCAGCACTCAGGAGACTAAGGCAGAAAGATTGCCATGTGTTCAAGATCAGCCTGAAGGGGCTGGGGGTTTAGCTCAGTGGCATAAGTGCCTGCCTTGCAAGCAGGCAGTCGTGAGTTCGATCCCCGGTACTGATAAAAACGAAAAAGACAAAAAAAAAAAAAAAAAAAGATCAGCCTGAACTGCATAGTGAGACCCTGTTTCAAAAAGACAAAAGAAAAAAGTCATTTATGGGACCATTTGCCAGAACTCAAAAAGTGAAGACAAGGCCCATATCTTTTTCAAGATTGAAACCCCTCTTTTATGGTTGTCTCCTTAAAGGTCCTTGAGGTCAAGACAAAGAGTTGTAGGTAGTGGTACAGTGCTTGCCTAGCTAGCAAGCTTGAAGCCTTGGGGTGAGTCCCTAACACCTTTAAAAAAAAAGAAAACAAGAATACTATACCTAAGTACTATACCTTTTATAGTAGATTCTGTTGTGTGATTAAGAGTTTATTTCTATCTACAGGTTGGTTGTGGTGCAGGAAACACGGTCTTTCCAATCTTACAAACTAACAAGTAAGTACAGTATGTTGTCAAATTTATGTGACTGCAAAGAGGAGAAAAGCAGAGTTCTGTTTTTTTTTTTAAACTCTGACTGTATCAGTCAGACATGATGGTGCACACCTGTAATTCCAGCCCTCAGGAGGCTGAGGCGGAGGATCAATGCGAGTTTGAGACCAGCCTGAACCACGTGGGGAGACTGTCTCAGAGGGGAAAAAAAAAAAAAGAAAAGAAAACCTTTTACTATATCAAAACCTATAATGGTGGCACATACCTTTTATCCCAGGATGTGGGAGGCTAAGGCAGGAGGATTACCACAAGTTTGAGGCCAACATGGGCTACATAGTGAGTTCAAGGCCAGCCTGAAATATAGAATAAGACCCTGTCTTAAACAAACAAAAAAAAACTTCCTATATCAAACTATCAATAGTAATCAACAAGAAGTATGGATTACAAGGGATTTAGATTTCTACATTATCCACTTATGGGTTATTTAATGCTGTATATGTTGTCTTTGTTGTCAGGGAAATTAATGAGACTTAAAACCTGTTACCAGGACTGGGAAGTCTATCTCAGAGGTAGAATGGTTGCCTGGTGCACACAGTATGTGGGTTCAATCCCCAGCACTGCGGTTAATTAATTAATTGGGGTGGGGGTTGGGGCTATAGCTCTGTTACAAAGCAGTTGCATGGTGTGTGCAAGGCCCTAATTTTGATCCCCAGCAACATGCACAAGAAAAAGTTTCTAAAATAATAAAACTTGTTACAGTTCCATTTTTACTCTCTCCCTCTGTGAGGAATGGTCAGTGGTTAGGGTGTCATTGCTCCTGTGATAAAGTTGAGAAAACTTGACTTTTCTTCCTCTCCAATAAGCCTGGGGCCTTTAAAAATCCCCAGCCCTTTTAATTTTTTATTTTGAGACATGATCTTGCTAAGTCACTAAGTAGCTCGGGATGGACTTGAATTTGTGATCCTGCCTCATCTCCCCAGAGTACTGGGATCACAGGCATGCTCCATCGTGCCCAGCAGAAAACTGACCTACATGAAGGTCTTCATATACAGTGTACATTCTTAGCAATCCCCATCAAATAAGAGCATGACTTCCTTCAACGACTACAGCCTCGGACACCATTGGTAATCCCAGTAGACTGAATCAGGAGGATTATACATTTAATGCCAACCTGAGCAACTTAGTGAGATCCTGTCTTAAAGTAAAATAAAAAGTATCAATGAGTATAAAAATGAATGACGATGGCATCATCTCCAGAATTTAATTGTGCTTTTTGCTGCTTTATGGTGCTAAGGAATTGAACCCAGTATCTTGCTAGGCAAGAAACATCCTGGGAAAATGCTCCAGCACTGAGCCACACCTCAATTCTTGTTGTGCCACTTTTTTCTTTTTTTAATTCAAATTATTTTATTACTTTTGCAGGGCTGGAGATTGAACCTATGAAATTTACATACCACCAAGGCAACTAAATATTTAATAGAAGCACAAAAATTTAGAACTGAAAAAAATTTAGAACATAGTATTTTGGCCCTTTTTTTTTTTTTTTTTTTTTTGGCCCTTTTTATAAATGAATAAGCCAATCCAGTGTGGTTAAATGATCCTAAAGTCATATAATCAGCTGTGAACAGAACTGGATCTATTACCTCACTTTCTAATTCCCTAGATTAATGCCACTTAAGATTAGATTACCTTATTAGAATTCACTGTTGATATAATTTACTTGCTTAGAATTGAAACAGGCTTTCTACTGCCTTTGAATCAGTTTCATTTTGTTTACCATAGTTTGTAAAACCTTGTACAGGATTATATCCTATGAAGTATGTCTTGTTATTTATCCCTCAATAAATTGGTTACACTCTCCATGTCTTTTTCTGACTCTGTACCTTCCCAAAATGTCCTCTTTTCATTTCCACTAGTTTGTTTTCTTTGGGGTTCTAGGTCAGAAATCTTTAGAAAACCTCTCTAATTGATGCATTCTAAGTGTATACCTGTGCAGTCATTGCAGTCTTTCCAAATTTCTTTCATTAGCTTAATGGTTACCTTCTGTCAGAGATCCCTAACTTTTTAAAAAAATAGTAAATTCTAGAGCTATGGGTTGTTTTATATTTTGATGTCTTCTACATAAACATGTTTCCTACTTGAAACCAGTTGAGCAGTTATTGATACCAATTTAGCATTTTGTATATTGCTGCCATGCTAAGGCTTGTGCTGCACTTTAGAGGCAAGAAAAATAACCACTGGGAGTTTTCCATGTTCCTCTTGGCCTCCCCAGCGTCAGGGATAACATCCAGCACTTAATGAACAGTCAGAATTTGGGGAACAAGTAAGTGAAAGATGTAACTGCTGGTGTCACTTCACCCTAAGGTGAGGCAGGTAAACAGCTGGGTTTCTAGCATGGAGAAAGTGCCATAGCAGCTCAGGAGCAGAACAGCAGAAGAATACTCACGGCTCCATCAGCAAGTTTGATTTGAAGGCAAAATAGATTTCAGTGGACCACGAAAAGGTTATTTTGAAACTCTTCAATCATTTGAAAACACTAGTATTACAGAGCTTAAAGGGGAATGTAGATTTAAAAGGTTTTAACTAAAGTATGATCTATTCTAACAAATAGTTTCTTTGAACGAATGCTACAGTATTTTTATCATTTACTATTTTGACTTCTACACAATGAAGGCAACAAATACAGTCCAGTTTGTAACCGACTCTTCTGTTATGTTTTCTACCCATTTCAGTGACCCAGGCCTCTTTGTTTATTGTTGTGACTTTTCTTCTACAGCTGTAGAACTGGTCCAGGTAAGTAAGTGGCTCCTATTGGTAATTCTTACTAATTAGAGGAAAAGGTGGTTTCCTAGAAATCAAAGTCACTATGTTCCTGTATTGTGGACTGAGAATAAAAGATTTACTGAAGCAAGGTGGAGGAAAGAGCCGTGCACTCAGCTGCAGACCTCTGTGCAGGGTTCTTAACTTCTCCAAACTGATTTTAGGATTAAAGTGAGATGATTCATCTGAGCATGGAGATGGATGCCTGTAATCCCACTTCTCTGGGAGACTGAGGCAGCCTAGGCAACTCAGCCACTTAGTGAAAGCCAGTCTCCAAAAAAGGATGGGGATTGGGCTTTGGTGACCCATGCCTGTAATCCCAACATTTAAGGAGGCTGAAGCAGGAGAATTGGTGTGAGTTCAGGCAAGCCCGGGCTACATAGGCAGACCGTGCCTCCAAGGGAACAAAATGCTTTGGCTCAGTCAGGGGTAAGCTATAAGAAACAAGCATGTTGACAAACGCAAGCAATAAAGGACAGTTCATAGAACTTAAAGGTATAATGTGTAGCCCAGGCCTGAAAGGTTTCACATGCCAAGGAAAGAGGGGCTGGGTGAGGTGGCGCTACCCCTGTTGGACCCTCAGGCTAATGGTGTTGACCTCTTACTGCCAGGTACCCATTTGTTCTTTTGTAGTGAGATTTCTGCATTTGCACTTGACCCTGACACGCTTGCTTCTCTCAGTCCCATATCAGTCCACCTCATTTAGAGCTTCACCAGAAAGGCTGGCCCAATTACAAAGTCCCCAAAGGCTACCTCATAAATCTTACCTGCTCTATTTGACTGTGCTCTGACCAATGAGGAACAAAGTCACATTTTTGTAGAAGTGGAATGTGACTAGGGAAGTTCCCATAAAATATATCTGTTGCTGTAATATATGCTGCTTCTAGCACAGGAGCTCAGGAATTGATAGCTGTATCTTTCTGAATCACTGTAGCTCAAGAGCTGATGAGTGGCTGGGAGTCAAGGCACATGCTTATAGTTCCAGCAGTCAGGAGGCTAAGGCAGGAGGATTGCTACAAGCCAACATGGGCTATATATAATGAGTTCAAAGCAGCCTGACCTACATAGCAAGATCTTGTCTTAACGCCCCTACCAAAAAGAAAAAATAGAGATCAGATGAGTACCAAGGCTTACCTCCTTAACTGTATAGTAACAAACTTTAGGTTATTTTTTTTTATAGAGAAAAATGGATTTTCCTAGAGAATTCTGTGGCTTGTGTGATATTCTGTAGTTGAGAGTTGTTTTAAATCATGCTTTTTAAATGCAGTTTGTCTTCCCCCTTAGAGAGTTTTATTCTTTGTCCTTTGCTTTACTGGTCGTTCTCCAGTCCACAGGTCTGAATCCACACATTGTGGCAGAAAGTGTATCACAGAATTAAGAAGTTAGGATATTCAATTTTAAAATTACCACATAGATTCTGCAGGATTTTCCCTGGGTTACTCTGGTTCTTACCCCGTAAGTCCCCCTAGAAAATCTGTGCTCTAGTGACTAGAAATTGGTTCCTCTGCTAGAAGTAGCAGCAGATGACATTTAAGCAAGAGCAACTTTTCTCCAGAGTGTTTTTATATCTTCTGACTCACTTGTCTCTACTTATCTACAGACAAACTCAGAATATGATCCATCTCGCTGTTTTGCTTTTGTTCATGATCTTTGTGATGAAGATCAAAGCTACCCAGTGCCTGAGAACAGTATTGATGTCATCGTTCTTATATTTGTTCTTTCAGCAATTGTTCCAGAGAAGTAAGTTTTAGGTCCCTTAACTAATAGCCTAACAAAAACAAAGCTACGGTCAGATACCTTGAAGTAAGGGGTCTAAATGACATAAATAAACCATAACATGTGTAGTCTGGACATCTACCTTCTGTTTCAGTTACCTTCAAGCCTAGTTCTTCTCTTCAGCACTGTGGTGGAAGAGCAGTCTGGAATTAAGTGTGTGTATGATAACCTGCTGTTCCCAAGCAGTGGGTAGCAGAGTTGTTAAATAGATTCTCCTTGTTGGCCTTGTAAGTACTTGAAGTAAAACAAGCTTATTAACAGTACAGAATTTACATTGGAATTTTCTGAAGCATAAATTTTTCAGAAACTGAGTACAAGCTGAGTGTGGTGGCACATGCCTGTAATCCTACCACTCAGGAGGCTGAGGCAGGAGGATCGCCGCAAATAGGCCAGCCTACATAGTAACCTGAACTACATAGCAAGACCCTGTCTCAAAAAAAAAAAAAAAGAAAGAAAAGGAAAACTCAAAAACTTGAGTATAGAATTCCACAAACTCAGGTTTCCATAAAAGGGAAGTCAAATAATATACCTTAAAACATGAGAGAGGGCTTGCTTAGTAGCTGGAGCCCTGGATTCAGTTCGTACCACATACACAAAACAAAAAAACCAAGGCACACTGACACGCACATACGGTTCTAGCTACTGAGGAAGCTCAGGCAAGAGGGCTGCATGAGGCCAGCCTGACAATATAAAGTAGACCTTATCTCATTTTAAAAAAGAAGAGAAAGACAAACCTCAGAACTCATGTACTGCTGTCCATGAAACTGTCTCTAGGCTGTAGAATCAAAGAGATTTGGGCACTATTAACCAATCCCAGACAAGCCCTTGCCACTACTTAAGTGAATCAGGACAGAGGTAGGAGACTTGGTGCATACCAGTAGTATAGATATACCACACACCAAAACTCTGGGATTAATACAGTTTCTTAGAGACCTCAAATTTTTACTTTTAAACAAGTGAATCACCACAAGTTTGAGGCCACCACAGACTACATAGTGGGACCCTGTTTCAAAAAAAAAAACTAGCTGTCTACTTTGTGAGTGTCAGCATCTAAGAATCTGAAGTAATTACTGTTAGAGGTCAAGATAAGCAGGTATCAGAAAATCAGATCACGTGACTACAGATGACAAGGACCCACTCCTGGCTCCACAAGGTTGGAGCTCGAAGTGGTTGACCTAGTTCTCTAGCCCACTTCTTCAGCATCTGAGACCTAACCAGGGATATTATGACACTGAAACATTTTTGAAAGTTTGTAGCGTGTGTACTAATGTATGAATGCTTAATTCTGTGTCATGATTTTTGAAAAATACTGCATGTGTTAGCTTTCTGTGACTATAATGTCTGAAATAATCAACTTACAAAGAGAAAAAGGCTTATTCTGGCTTTGGATTTCCAAGGTACATTCTGTCATTATTTGGCCCTAGAGCTCGTAGGCCTGCAACAAGGCAGCACATTGTAGGGGAAAAAAACATTCTACCTCATGGGCAACAGGCAAAAGAGAAGAGCGAAGAGGCGGGATCCCACAGCTCCCTCAGGATCACATGCCCAGGACCTACTGACCTGCCCTAGGCCCTACCTCTTCAAGGTTCTGCCACATTCCAGGAGTGCCATGGCAGGGACCAAGCCATGTATGAGCCTTTGGGGAACATTCCAGATCCAAACCTAGCCTTGCCAGTGGAAAGTGAAGTCACATGTAAAGCACTCTACCTGGCCAGGCATGGTGTCACATACCTATAATCCTAGCACTTGGGAGGCTGAGACAGGAGGATCATTGCAAGTTTGAGACTAGTCTGGGCTACAGAGTGAGCTCAAGGACACCCTGAACTGCATAGCAAGTCCCTGTCTCAGAAAGACAAAAATAGGGGCTGGGGATTTAGCTCAGCGGCATAAGCGCCTGCCTTGCAAGCTGGCAGTCGTGAGTTCGATCCCCGGTACCGATAAAAAGGAAAAAGACAAAAAAAAAAAAAAAAAAAAAACAGAATGTTCCCAGAGCAAGTTGTCTTTGGGGCTCTCCTAAATACAACCAGAGCAGAGGAGCTATGGTTTCAGGATTGATCTATCAGAGTTAGGAAGTCCTTTGGGTTTTTTTTTTTTTTGGGGGGGGGGGTTGGAGGGGGGTATGCTCCAGTGAAAAGGAACCCTAATCTTCCTTGTTCTACAGGATGCAAAAAGCTATAAACAGGCTGAGCAGGCTTCTGAAGTCTGGAGGGATGATGCTTCTACGAGATTATGGTCGTTACGACATGGCTCAGCTTCGGTTTAAAAAAGGTATTTTGCCACAGTAATCAAAACGATAGTTTTGCCATCAATATTCAGGTCAGCAGAAAAAGACTACAGCAAGGGACGACAGTTAACTTTAGAAGTGCTATTTTCAGAAAGGTATTTGATTACATAAGTAGTTTTAAATGCAGTGTGACAAGACACCATTTAAAAGTTACAAGAGAGAAGCCAGGCATGGTGGTACATGCCTGTAATCCCAACACTCCAGAGGCTGAGGCAGGAGGATGGCGGTGAGTTTGAGGCCAATCTGAGCTACAAAGTGAGCTGAAGGCCATCCTGAACTGCAGAGCGAGACCCTGTCTCAAAAAGACAAAAAAAAAAAAGTTGTAAGAGGATTCAGGGTATAATTTGGTGGTAGATTTGGTATAATTTGGTGGTATGCCTGGCATACACAGGTCCTGGGTTCAATTTCCAGCAATCTAAATAAGTAAACAGGGGCTGGAGGTTTAGCTCAGCGGCATAAGTACCTGCCTTGCAAGCAGGTAGTCGTGAGTTCGATCCCCGGTACCGATAAAAAGGAAAATGACAAAAAATAAATAAATAAATAAATAAGTAAACAAAATTTGAAGACTCCATAAAGTTCCGATTTAAGTCACTAGGAAAAAAAAAATGGAAAGATGAGTGACAGATTAAAGAGCTGTTTTCACTGTGTGCAGTAGACAGACTGTTATCTTTTCAGAGGTCAGTCGTGAAATTGATAAAGCCCAGTAGCCCACCCCAAATACAGATCACAAAAGAACATATCTAAATGACCAGTAAATAAAACTTCAACAAAGATAAAGAGTTGATTCTTCTTCATACTTTTGCTAATCAGTTCAAAGAAAGAAGTATACTTCTCCCTTTGTGGTAGAAATATAAAAATTGCTGATGGCCTTTTTCTCCCCACTTGCATATTGGGACTCGAACTCACATCTTCCACAATGACCTACATGCCCAGACCTTTTTACGGTTTTTATTTTGAGACAGGGTCTTGCTAAGTAGCTCGCACTGGGCTGAGATCCTCCTACTTCAACCTCCCAGCTCTTGGAAAGTTTTCCGTTCTTTTAACTACGTGCCAGGTTGTAAGACCAGGGTGGTCAGCAGGTGGAAAGGTGCATCCATGATAAAAACAGCCAGTTACATGTGAATGTGTGTGTGAGCATGTAGAAAGACACCCAAGAGAAGAGTCACCAAAGTAGGCTTCGTGCTTGTGCTGACCTTAACATCCCTATGGCTTTTGTTGTTCTTAAACAAAGTTTATGCCATTAATTCAACCCAGAAGTGGGGTAATAAAAACAAGTTGTTCTCCACACATATTATCTGATACTGAAACTGGTTATTCCCATTTAGCTGCTTTTCTCCAAAGCATCCTTCCCTCTTAAGAGAAGAAGCTACAGACTCCTGCAGGATACTGAATGTAACCAGCGAAGGGGTCTGTTTTCTACTCAAGAACTCAGTATCTTGAAGCAGTGTGATTAGTGATGAAATTCAAAGACATGTTTTAAAGTTTCTCTGATCTTTATAATGTTATTCTGCAGGCCAGTGTCTCTCTGGAAATTTCTATGTGAGAGGTGATGGCACCAGAGTTTACTTCTTCACTCAAGGTATGAAAAACATGATCTTTATTTATGCTAAAGGTCCCCAAATGACCAGTTCATGAGCTCTTCAGTGTGTTTCACAAGGAAAGTCACCTGGCCCTACCTTCCCGTCTTCAGCAGACTTTCCCCTGTAGTTCCTCACACTTTTCCACAGTCTGCCCCAAGCATTTGCTTTCAGGTCGCTGACAGCCAGAGCTTGTGCTGGCTTTCAGTTCACGGCTTTCTTTTCTCCTTTATTCTGCTTTATCCAAAAGTGGGAACCTACCTATCTGGCAAGACTCAAGCTGGTTTGCCTGGACACAGGCAGTGCATTAGGTGCCAGCTGCATCAGTGAGGAGCCTGGGTTGCTTGACCTGTCCAGTCTGTCTTCCCACAGTGCTTCTTGAATGCTCCATTCTCGAGTTCTTCATTGAGTCACATACTTTGAGCCTTTGCATAAAATAATGGAAGCTCCAGGGGCTGGAGGTTTAGCTCAGCAGCATAAGCGCCTGCCTTGTAAGCGTGCGGTCCAGAGTTCGATCGCCAGTACTGATTAAAAAAAAAAAAAAAGATGAAGCTCCTAAAAAATTATTTTTGTAGATAAACAGAGATTTTTGTGTATAGGTTTTTTTGTTTGTTTTTTTTAAACAGAATAGGAATATAGAGCTCTTGCTTACCATCAATCCTCAGTACTGCAAAAAAAAAAAGGAAAGAAGTATATATAAAACTTCACTAAAAACAACTTGGATTCCAGACCGCCCTTCAAAAAGTTTCCTCAGCCTGGTCATTAACTTGCTGTTACCAAGTCACTACTGTGTAAATCGCCAAATAGTTCTGCTAAGGCCACTTAAAATGCATAATGGAGGGCCGGGGAGTTAGCTCAACGGCATAAGCACCTACCTGGCAAGTGTAAGGCCGAGAGTTTGATCTCTGGTACCAAAACAAAAGAGCATAATGGCAACATGGCTCACATCCCCTTTTAGCATGAGAAGTAATTGACAGCAATTAATGGGAAAAAAATAGATAAATATCTTCTCTTTCCAAACTAGACGAACTGGACACACTTTTTACTACTGCAGGACTGGAGAAGGTACAGAATCTGGTGGATCGCCGATTGCAGGTGAACCGAGGAAAACAATTAACAATGTACCGAGTTTGGATTCAGTGCAAATACCGAAAGCCGCTTCCGCCCAGTACCACCTGAGAGGCACCTGCTCCTGCGACGACTCAAGCTGATTGTGTTCCACGTGTTTTAAAAAAGAGTTTCTGTAGGGCTGTGAATGTAGCTCAGTGGTACAGTGCCTGCCTGGCAAGTGTGAGGTTGTGAGTTGATTCCCGGTACCAAAAAAACCCTTAAAGAATATCTATAAATAGTGCATTGCTAATGTTGGACAGTTCAAGAATTTAAACAAGGGCCAAGCTTGATGGCATATGCTGTAGTCCTAGAGTTGAAGAGGCCAATGCAGAAGGATCATGGAAGCTCAATGCCAGCTGGAATTCAAAAAAAAAGAATTCAAACAAGGACTGGAGTAGAGTGCTTCCCTGGCACGTGCCAGACCTGAGGTTATGTCCCCAATACAGCAAAGAAAAAAGAAATTCAAACAGTTTTAACCCTGAACCTCGGAAAATGCACTTATTAACAAGATAAACAGCTTTGTCTTACCTGTGAAGCACATTAACATGAATGTGAACTTTTTGCAAGTTGTTTTAAGTTCTCAGTCTTGTCATTTTGTAACTGAATTTTTTAATAAATGAAATTTCCTACATAGGAATTAATTTAAAACAAAAGCCAAGTGTGGTGCTCACCTGTAATCCTGTTACTCTGGGGAGCTGAGGATCACAAATTCAAGCTCAGAGCAGGCCACTGAACAACTTAGCACAGCCTGGCTCAAAGAAAGATTTATTCCAGGTAAATTTGTTATGTATGGTAAATGTCCCTTTACTATTAAATCTCATTAAATTATTTTCAAATCCTAGCATTTTGGCTTTGCAGTTGCAGGTCATACATAAAAAGATGGCTAATGATCCTGTTAAATCGCAGTAGATAGCAAACTGGAAAAAATCTCTGTCTTAGGAAGTCTTCTCTAGAACAAGCTTCAAAATGTGGTTTCCCTGTTAAATACTGTTGGCCTCCATTTTAAGTAATTGTGAAGTTTTCACACATTGTTCCCCTTCTGATGTGTATTAAAAGGTTTAACTGGGCATAATAGTGCACCCAGAGGCTGAGGCAGAAAGATTACCACAAATTTGAGGCCAGCCTGGGCTACACAGTGAGGCTGCCTCAAAAAAACAAAAGGTAAATAAATATTCTAATTGCTTCATTATTTTACCTAAGTGTGAAAATTTGGCAGGATAAGCATTTTTCTTTCTTTTTTTTTTTTTGTCTTTTTCCTTTTTATCGGTATCAGGGATCGAACTCACGACTACCTGCTTGCAAGGCAGGTGCTTATGCCACTGAGCTAAGTCCGCAGCCCCCTGGATAAGCATTTTTCAATAATTCATTTCAGAAAGCTAGGGATGCTTGTTTACATAATAAAAAGAGAACAAAAAGTTTTAAGCCTCGGGGATAGCTGGACATGGTGGCATTTATCTGTAATCCCAGCACTTTGGAATGCTGAGGCAAGTGGATCTCAAATTCTAGTCCAGTTTAGACACTAAGGGTTTAGTGAGACTGTGTCTCCAGAAAACAAGATTACCTATAATAGTTGATCCATTGTGTCAACATAAGTATAGAAGTTTAAGTGACTCATCAGGGTTCGAGGGTCTTCACTTGTAAGCACCCTGAGCCTGTACAAGAGGAGGGCAAAGAAATGGTGTGAGTGCTACACTCACCCTAGGGTGGGGGGGGGTGGCCTGCTTACAATGAAGGGAGTAAGAGAGGCTTGCTCCCTGTTTTGCTCTTGTGGATTTTACTGTCTTCGTCCACCTTGAGCTGCTGCCCGGCTGCCATGCCACCCTTTCTTGGAGCCAGCTGAATATGGACCGAAACCTCCACAAACAGCTAAATAAACCTCTTTAACTTTGGGTGTCGGGTATTTTGTCCCAGCAATGAGAAAGAAGTAACTAAGATACACTGGCTCGATTGTAAACTCAAATGAGACATGTTGATGTTGCCTTGTGATTTAGTTCAGGTTATTCATGTGAAGCAAGAATATTAGAAGTTATGCTATGTTTTTCCCATTGCTTCGTGTCCTGTGATATTTTCCTTACATTCCTCTTAGTCTTTTACAAGATTCAGGCACCAAGGTCATGCCCATGATCCCAGCTACTTGTGAGGGTGAGACAGGAGGATTGTGATGGCTGGGATTAGAGACATGAACCACCATGCCCAGTTTAGATTTTTTTATTTAATCATTATAATCCACTGTGGAGGTTTTGGATTTTTTGTTTTATTTTTTTTGTTTTTGAGACAAGGTCTCCCTATATATCTTTTTCTTTTTATCGGTACCGGGGATCAAATTCATGACTGCCTGCTTGCAAGGCAGGTGCTTATGCCACTGAGCTAAATCCCCAGCCTGACAAGGTCTCCCTGTGTAGTGCAGACTGGCCTTGAACCTGTGTGTGTAGCCCAAGCTGACCTCGAACTCAAAGTGATGCAAGTGCTATGATTACAAGTATGCATCGCCACATCTGGCTGTCCATTGTGGTTTTTTGGTTTGGTTTTGTTGGGTTGGTTTTGTTTTGTAGTACTCCAAATTGACCTTTGCACTGAGCTAGTCTCTAATCCTTTGTGTTGTTTTATTTTGAGACCAGTTCTCACTAGAGACTATTTCCAAGCTATACTCAAACTCAAGATCCTCCTGCCTCAGCTTTCCGAAGTAGTAGGATTACCATGCCCAGCTCATTGCTATTATTTTAATGCCCACATTGCCCCAGATTTGGCCAATGAGAGCATCTTCAGACTGCCTTCTGAAACCTCTTGACATACCCCTTTGAATACTTCAAATTATTCCAGATTCATCTTGTACTTTGTCTGTCCAGTCTGGAATGACTGCTGCTCCCATGGAAGTCTGTTTTCTCATAGAGGTGCTTAGAAACTATAAGAACCAAAAAAAAAAGTTTAAGAAGAAGAAACTAAACCGAGCACTTGGTGTACTCATTGCCACTGTGTTCCTGTGCCCAGGTAGACAGCTCAAGAATATATACCTGGGGACTGGGGGTTTAGCTCAGCGGCATAAGCGCCTGCCTTGCAAGCAGGCAGTCGTGAGTTCGATCCCCGGTACCGATAAAAAGGAAAAAGACCAAAAAAAAAAAAGAAAGAAAAAAAAAAGGGGGCTGAGGATGTAGCTCAGTGCAATGACTCTGGGTCCAATGCCCAGTAACAAAGGCAATTCAGTGCCTTTAATTCCTACCCAACACCACAAGATTTATTGTAAATCTCTCCCTTTTTCTACTTACAGCTCCTTTTTCCAACAGTAAAAAATTGGTTCCCAGGCAGGCATAGTGCCACATACTTGTTTTTTTGAAAGTTATGTTTTTGGTTTTTGTTTTTAGTACTGGGAATTGAACTTAGTACCTTGTGCATGCCAGGCAAGTGCTTGTGCTGCTGAGCCATATCCCCATCCCCTAGTGCCACATACTTGTAATTTCAACACTTGGTGAGATAGAAAGACACTATTTTAAAAAACAAAAGCCCGAATAATTGTTAATCTGGTTGTGCCAGTTTGGGGGCTTGGGGGTTGGCACTAGCCAGAGGGCTTTGGCAAAGTGCACTTCTGGGTACCAGTGTGGACCCAGGCACTGGATGCTAATTGAGCCCATGCCCCGCCCGCTCAGGTGCTGCCCCTCTGCTCTGATCCCACTGCCATGAACAAAGCAACTCTGTTCCACTACATGTTGGGAGCCTGCTGACCATGTACTGAATTCTTCAGAAACAGCAACCTAAACTGTCCTCTCTTAAGTTGTGGCTATTGAGTTTCATGTCCCAGCAGAAGGAAAGCTGCCTAAAAAAAGAGTGGTATGTGCCTGTAGTCCCAGCACTCTGGGAGGCTGAGGCAGGAAGATCACAAATTCAAATCCAGCCAGAGTAATTTAATTCCTTAGCAAGACCATGTCTCCAAAAAAAAGGAGGTAGGGTGGGGGAGAGGCTGGGATGTGGCTCAGTGTAGAGGCCCTGAGTCCAGTCCCTAGTACCACAAAACCAAATCAATAAATACTTAAAATTTTAAAAGAGCTGGGAATGTAGCTTAGTTCAACAACTCGGTGTTCAAGTCCCCATAACAGCAGCCACAACAAAAATGCACACACACTGGGGTGTCATATTTCTGTTAGGTCATGTGGCACCACTCTTTGCCACTGCCCACACATGGATACCTTTTTCACCTCTAGGGTTCTGAAACACCCCAAACCACTTCCTTACCCTGTTAGGGTTTAGATCAAAGCCTCATACCATCATAGATGCAGCTTTTGAAGGGTGATTGCATTGCAGGGCTCTCCGCCTAAAATGCACTTTTAGGAGGTGTGGCCTGGCCGGGGCGGAGTCACTGGGAGTTGTGACCCGGAAGCAACCTTCATCCCCAGCTCCTCCCTTTCCTGGCGTGGCTTTCTTCTACCCAGGCCACTGCTCCTCTCTGCTGATTCGTAGAGCCAGCTGGCTACGGACTGAAACTTTTAAAAACTGAGCCAAAATAAACCTGTCTTTAAATAGTCAGGTATTGTGTCCCAGCAAGAAGGAACGTGTCCAAGACACTCTCCTCATCCTGTCTTGGTTCCAGCCCCCTCACAGGGCCACAGCCAACCCAGAAGCCCCACACTAGCACGCACCTTCCTTTGTGGCTCCTGTGAATTTTAAAAGGTGGGTGGGAAAGGAACTCCCATATTTTCCATTTTTTTTTTTTTATCGGTACTGGGAATCTAAACAGGCGCTTGTGCCACTGAGCTAAATCCTCAGCAATTATTGAATTTATTTAAAACTGGCAAAGACTGACTAGAATGATATTTAATCTGGCTTTAGTTTTTTTATTCTTTTAATACTAGAGATTGAACCCTAGGGTCTTCCTAAATTACTGAATAACCTAGGCAGGGCTCAAATTTGGCATCCTCCTGCCTCAGATTCCCAGAAGGCTAGAATTACAGGCCTGTGCCACCACACCACGTTGTTTATCTTTTGAAAAAATATATATATGACCCCCAACAAGTCCGTATTTTGCATTTCTAAATCATTTTAAAGTAATCAGAAGAGTTTTATTCCCTCTTCCTGGTACCTCACTTGCACTTTGGGCTTAGATAGAAAAGATGAGACTTTTCCTACCTCTACCATCTGCTAGGCTCTCCAGCCTTTTAATTCTCCAGGCCAAGTGGAACTTGGGGAGGGACTTTGCACAATGTTTCAGGCTTAGAGTCATTAATAGTGACCCGAAGAAAAACATGTACTCAGGGTAGATGACAGGCCACTCAAAAACCCAAGCTGGCCGGACTCTCGGAGGTTTCTCACTGTGTGTGTGTGTTTGTTCACTGCATTTATTTGTTCTTTTGTTTGGTTATGCTGTGCTGAAGATTGAACCTGGCACCTCATGCCCACTAGTGAAGTGCCTTTTCCTTTTTTATTTTTTGACAGGGTTTCTGTAAATCAGTAAATTACCCAGACTGGACTCAAGTTTGCAATCCTGCCAGTCTTCCAGATGCTGGGTTACAGTTGTTTCCCACCACATCCCGTTTCCCAAGGTTTGTTTGTTTTGTTTTGTATTGTATTGGGTTTTTTTTTGGGGGGGGGGGGTTGTACTGGGGTTTGAACTCATGACCTTGCGCTTGCCAGGCAGGCGCTTATGCCCCTGAGCTGATTTTTTTTCTTCTTTTCGAGGCAGGATCTCACACTGTAATTCAGGCTGTTCTTGACCATGTAATGATCCTCCTGCCTCAGCCTCCCAGGTGCTGGGATTACACCACCATGCCTGGCTCCCCAGAATCTTAATGTAACAAACGTCCTGTGTTGGGCCAGGGATTTAGCTCAGCATTGTAAGCGCCTGCCTGGCAAGCCTGAGGTCGAAAGTTTGATGCCTGGTACCAAAAAAAGGAAAGATCCTATGTTGGTTGTGCTGGGAAAGTAGTTCCTGGTAGGAAGCTAGGCAGGAAGTTGTGAGTTTAAATGTGAATCGAATAAAGAAGCATTTCTGAAAGTGACATCTTCTTACATTAAACGGTGGCAATTTGGCTGAAGAGATAAATTCAGTGTTGTTTAAAAAATGACAGATGGTTGGATTTGAGATGGTGCAGTGGTTGGAGCAAAGCCAAGTTCCTGAAGGCCGTGCAGAGTAATGGTGTAACAGCCACCAGCAGCATGGGTTTTATGTTGCCACAGTGATTCATCTTTCTGTCTTATGTGCTTCATCCGTGTGTGTGTGTGTGTGTGTGTGTGTGTGTGTGTGTGTGTGTATTTTATTTGGTTGTTTTGTTTTGTAATACTGGGGAATCAACTCAGTGCCTTCACGGCGAGCTACATCCTCTGTCCTTTTTTATTTTTATTTATTTTAGCTTTGAGACAGCATCCCACTGTCACTAAATTGGCCAACCTGGTCTCAGACTTGCAGTCCTCCTGTCTTAGCCTCACAGAATATAGGAATTACAGCATGTACCCCATTCCCAGTTTATATGGAGCATAGTGTTTGCTAATGCTTTGCAAATCTAGGTTCATACTCTCTTGTGTTCTGGTTGCAAAATTAAGTCCTTAGAAAAAGGAAAATCTAATGTGAGCCCCCTCTTTTCATATAATTGATTGCTGTCCTCCCATGAAGACATTACTTTATAAGAGCCTAAAAGATGAGATTAGGACAAACAGTTTCTTTCACTGTTTTCACAAAGGCCTGTTCTTTGGTTTGTAGCTGCAGCTGCTATTTTCAGAGCTCTGCTCCACTGAGGCGTTGCAGATTTTTACATGCTTCTTAGTGCGGTCTGTAGGTTATGATTTAGGAACCTTAACTAAGAAGTAAAAAAAAGTGCTGGTGGTGAATTTCCCAGGTAAAAACACTGAAATGATGCAGCATGGTTGCCATGTCATATTGCACTAAAAGCCCAGTTTCATGACTCAACCTCATCTCTTTATCTGTAGTCAGTGGAACACACTACAGATCAAGTTTTAGAACTGATAACCACCGTCTGATTGCACATTGCATTGGAAGGCCCTGAAACACAGTAGCCAGTAGCCTTGATCAAAAACTCAATTCTGACATGCCCACTCGGAGGAAGCCCCAAATTGCTTGATTCATTCATTGACTCATTCTCCACCTTTCTTCCTGTGAGTTTGGATTTCTCCATTAAAATTTAAAATATCCAGCCTGGGGTGTAACTCAGTAGTAAAGCACTTGCCTACCATCACAAGGCCCTGGGTTGAATCCCCAGAACTGGAGAAAAAAAAAAATGTGCCAGCCACTCAGGAGGCATAGCTGGAAGGATCACTTGAGACCAAGAGTTTGAGGTGCCTGAGCAACACAAGGGGACCCATCCCTCCCAAAATAAAAAAGGCCTGGACACTGTGGCACATACCTGTTATTACAGCTAGTTGGGAGGCTGAGACAGGAGGATCACAAACTTGAGGTCAGCCTGAACAATTTAATGAGACCCTGTCTCAAAATAGAGAGGGCTGGGAATGTAGCTCAATGGTACAGCACTTTGCCTGGTATGCACAAGGCCCTGGGTTCAGTCTAGTACCACAAAAATAAGTAAGTAAATAAGTCATTACAGGGAGCCATACTTCAAACATTTATCAGCAAAAGCATTTTAGAGAAGCACCTATGAAGGTGTTTAAGGAATAGAGAACACCCTGAAGCATCCTGGTGTAGACAAGCCTCATACACCCTCTGTAACCTTGTTTCCCACTATGGAATTTATTAAATGAATGAGCTCACTAAGTCGTGAATTCCTTGGCGTAACTTGTGTATCTGAAACACTTATATACAAAGCCCCTAGCTTATGGATGGTGCTCAGTCAGCAGGACAGAGGTCACTCTCTGATGGGACATCTCCCAGGCAAAAGGAACTCGAGTATGAAGACCCATGGATCATGGCAAAAGACCCACTCTCCACTTCCTTGGGGAACATCACATCACACATGTGAGCTCATGATACCATTGTCCCATCTTGTAATAAATCCATCTGCCTTTGGCATGTTGCATGAGCATTACCCAAGTGCTGTTATGTACTAAGAAATGAATAACAATGATTCCCTATTTCCAACTGATCCTTGCATCCAAGGTCTGGATTCTTGTTAAGTTGCTTAGGAATTATTAAAATGGGAAACCAGCCCAAACTTGCAAGAGTCTGGTTTACAAACAAGATTATTGATCTATAATTTGAAACAATGTAAGAGACTAACCCAGGGGAAATACTGTCAAGAATGAATCTAGACCGGAAGTTGAGTGTTAAGAATACACGGAAGCCTGGGGAGCTAGATGGTGCTAAGGGAGGTCGCCAAGCTGAGGCTGCCCCAGCACCCTGTCTGCACCAGCAAAGCCATGGGTGAGCAGATCTATGTGCGCTAATGTTGACTGACATTTGTTTTGGCTTTAAGACACTTCAAAGAGCTTTTCATATATTTAATCCTCACAGTGCCTCTGTGAAATGTAAGTATAATGATCTCCATTTTACAGATGAGAAAATCCAAAGTTCAAGAAGGATAAGTGGTTTACCAAGGTCAAGTGATTAGTGTTAATCACAAGGTAATTAGCCTCAGATTAAGACAGGGTCGCTTGAGGCCCAGGATGTGGCTCAGTGGAAGAGTGCTTGCCTGGTGTGCAGGAGGCTCTTGGTTTGACAGACCCCCCCCCCAACAGGAATATTTTGATATAAATGATGTCTGACATCATATAGAGGTTTTGTTATGCTAGCTCCAGCCAACTCCTGGCCTTAGAAAATATAATGAGTGTCCTTGCCATTGGCTCAGAGAGGGACAAGGGCCTTAGTGTTTGCAACTCCACTCCAGATCACCCAAGGAACAAGAAAGTGGGGCAGTTATCACAAGCGTAATAGAACTGTGAAAGAGTACATGAACGCTAAGGGTGTAGCTCAGTGGTTCATCTTAGAAAATGTGCCTGTGCCTGATGTACTAGAGAGGGTTCACTCTCCAACATCAAAAAAAAAAAAAAAAAAAAAAAAAAAAAAAAGCAACATAGTCTATGAACTTGGCTACATAAATTGTGTTTGTTTTATAACAGTTGTTCAAACTGCAACATTTTCATCAAAAATAGAATATGGAAAATCCCCACCTTGCTGGGAAGTCTCTACCTTTAGTTGCAAGTAGTGGGGGCAGCCACACCCAGCACTCTGAGAGGCTGAGGCAGGAAAGTCACAACTTTGAGCCCAGCCTGGACAGCTTAGTGACAGCATGACCTTCTTTCAAAATAATAAACCACCTGGCAAGCAAAAGTCTTGAGTTTGATTCCCTGTGCAAAATAATAATAATAAACAAAAATAAATTATATTTACATGATTTTTAGTACTATAAACCATACCTTCCTGTGACATAGGAAGAAAGGGTCTTCTTAGGGAAGATGTCACAGAGACATAATCCTTGGGTAGATTCATGAAGGATAGACGGTTTTTTCAGGTGGATATGGTAGAGATGACAGTGCTTGATCAAAGGGATGGAGTTGGGGCTGGGGATTTAGCTCAGCGGCATAAGCGCCTGCCTTGCAAGCAGGCAATCGTGAGTTTGATCCCTGGTACCAATAAAAAGGAAAAAGACAAAAAAACAAACAAACAAACAACAACAAAGGAATGGAGTTGTACAACACATGCCAGGCTTGGTGGTGTACGCCTCTAATCCTAGCACTGACAAAGCTGAGGCAGGAAGATAGCCATGAATTCAAGACCAACCTGGACTATACAGTGAGACCCTGTCTCAAAAAAACAACAAAATGGGGCTGGGGATTTTGCTCAGCAGCATAAGCACCTGCCTTGCAAGCACGCAGTTGTGAGTTCAATCCCCGGTACCAATATATTTTTAAAAATTTTTTAATGAAAATGAAAACAAAAGTCCACTTATATTATAGAGTAGCAAAATGATAGAGGTCATGACTGTGCCGTGGAGCAGTGCTAGGAGCATCTTGTGAGAATTAGAAATGTCTTGAAGTCTCTTCTTGCCAAGCTGGCTGTGGACATTTGAGATGTGCTGATAAGGCTTATCCTATAGACAGAAAGGGTCCCTGAGGAGCCCAAAAGCAGAAAACTTAGAATTGCTAGACATTTAACAAAATAACCTCTCTAGAGAGAGAATTCCAAGTCATATGGAGAGACCAGAGCAGGAGGCATGAGAGGTTTCTACCAGGGCCAGCAAGATCGGACAGACAGTGCTGAGAAGCCTGAGGACAGAAAGGTGGGACAGAATGGGGACACATGGAGTCATCACAACTGGCAGGACTGGTGACAGGCCTGAGGATAAAAGAGGCTGAGAATAACCCCAAGGTTTCTGGCTTTAAGAACAGAGACTACTGATGCAGTAATTAGGGATTCAATCCGAAGGAAGAGGAAGAAATTTGAGTTGTAGGGAAAGGTAATAAGCTCTGTGGCTCACGATGTAGAGCTGTCCAGCAGCCTGAGATACAGATTTGAGCTAGGATACAGGCAGGGGAGTATTCCAAGGAGAGAATCACCAGAATGGAGACAGTCATCAAAGCCATTGCCGTATGTGAGTCTGGACAGTTTACAGACATGAGAAAGATACTAGGACCCAGAGAAAGTAGCCTTTCCAGGATAAAGGCCTGGGGCTCTGCAGAAAGTACCCTAGGTCAGTGGAGCCCAGAATAAAAACAGTGATTGTCACAAGATGATGTCATTGTGAGCATTTTTTTATCCCTGTTCTTTTCTTTGGGTTTTGCTTGTTTGTTTTGTTTTGTTTTGTTTTGAGACAAAGTCTCACTATATAGTGCAGACTGGCCTTGAGCTCACTTTGTAGCCCAGGTTGCTTTTGAATTTGCAATTATCTTCTTGCCTCAGCCTCCCAAGTGCTGGATTACAGGCACAAGATACTATGTTGGCTTTATTCTTCAATTTATTTATTTGGTACTGGGACTTGAATCCAGGGCCCTATGCATCTAAGCAAGTGCTCTACCACAGAGCCAGAGCAGGAACTCCCTTTTTCTAAATTTTAACTTTTATCAAAAGAGCAATTACATATCACCATTCTCTGACCTAAATAAATAAATAATCACCCAGTTTTAGAAAAATACAAAGATAATTTCCAATATGTCGGAAGCTGGGCACACTGATTGGGCAGAGGTGCAGAGCTGGCATTGAGGTCCGTGGCCAACTGCCTTCCCCTGGCTGCCAACCTTTAGGAAGCAAGAGCAGCGTTCAATGGCCCTGTTTCTGCCTGTGCCTGGCTTTCTGGTCGCAGATGAGTGGGCACGTGTGCATGTGGTCTAAGCTCAGCCCGTCAGAGCCTCTTCCCTGCACGGGACCCTGCGTGGGAAGGAGGCAGGGTGTGCAGTGAGCTTGGGGGCTGTGGCCACTGTGAAGGCTGAGGCCGCTGCTTGAGAGCCACCAGGGTCCTGCAGCAGAGGTGGGAGCAGGTGCAGCCTGGGAAGATCAGTCTTGGAGGCTAACGACCAGCTGGTGTAGGATGAACGGGAGGAATGGGGGAGGTTGGAGAGAAAGGGAGGGCTAGACCACCAGGACCTCAGGCAGAGTTGGGAGGCTTTCTTCCTACCGAGATTCACACTTTTAAAAGCCTAATAACAAGCTAGGGGTATAGCTTAGTGAAACAGTGCTTGCCTGGCAAGTGTGAGGTCCTGAGTTCAATTCCTGGTGCCAACAAAGGGGAAAAATAGCTTGGTGATGCTGGAAAATGTGTTGTGAAAGTGGGACAGAGCTGAGGAGAGCTGTGTGGAGGCCCCGGCAGTATCCAGGCAGCGGCAGTGGGCCAGGCTTCAATGGGGACAATGATGAGGGGTGCTGAGGAGGGCAAGGTGGAGTCGGGGTGACTGGCACTGATGCCCTTGCTACTCCTGGGCAGGAGAGACCGGAGGCTTCCATTCCGACACTGAGGTGCTGAAGGCTGGGTGAAGTGGAGACATCTCAAAAACTTCAGTCTGGAGACAGGTCAGGGCCCTCATGGTAAAAATCTGCAGACAGCTGGTGTGTAGCCCCAGGCTTAAATGACTGTTTTGACCCTGAAGAAATTATTTTAACCCCCTGCTGAGGACAGAGCTAAGTCCTTTAGATTTGGAGATGGAAGTTTCTCCTGACCTTGAGCACAATAGTCCTGAGGCCTGTGGATTTACAGTTTAAATTGGGATGGCAAAAGGGTAGTCATCAGGCTGGGGAAGTAGCTCAGTGATGTGGCACCTGCCAGGCAAGCATAAAGCCCAGAGTTCCATTCCTAGTACCAAAAAGAATGGGGGGGGGGGGGGAAGAGTAGTCATCATGATCACCACAGCCTAGCCACATCCTTGCCTAAAATCTGGATTTAAAAAATAGCTATGGGCTAGCCAGGGCTGGTGGTGCATGCCTATAATCCCAGCACTTGGGAGGCTGAGGCAGGAAGATCTCAAATCCAGACCAGTTTGGGCTACATAGCAAATTCAAGGCCAGCCTGAAGTACATAGTGAGAACCTGTCTCATTAAAAAAAAAGAGCGGGGGGGGGGGGACATCTATAGGACTATGGGTAGAGCTCAGTGGTAGAGCTCCTGGGTTTTATCACCAGCACTGTGGGGGGCGGGGGGATAGGGTGGGCTGGGTGAGGTTGTGGAATATTAAACCAAGAGCCTTATCCTTGTTAGGCAAGCACTTATGAGCAACATTCCCAGCCATCAGCATTTAATTGCTTGTGCATGATAATGGTCCCTGGTGAGAGAGAATCTTGGTCCTTAAAAGATACATGGTAGTATTCACTGAACTACTGAAACTCTGAAAAAGCCTAAACATTGTAATTTCACTCGGCTTTTAGTTACAGTACTTGCTTTTATCACCAATTTTAGAGGTCATGTAGCTAAGCTATATAGTCCCACTAGCTTTGCTGTAGCTAACACCACTAACAAACTGATCACCATGGTTATGGTTTCCTACTTTGCTTTTCAGGAATTTAGAGGTAGCTCAAACAGGTTGAGACCACCCACACTTCACTGGAGCCCATGTAAGCATCTGACAGTGAACCTTTGACATCAGAAGGCACAAATTCCACCCTCCAGAGCAAGCTGACACTGCCGTACTGCATTAGGATCGTGGTTCTAGAAGATCAGGAATGTTACTATGTGCAGACAGACTACAGATTTGTTCTTTTCCTCTCTTCTAGTCATCTTTGTCCACAGCTCAGCTTTGTCACAGCTGCTTTGTTATCCCATAAATGCCCCTAACACCTATGGGGAGGCAGATTTAAGACCTGAGGCTTCATTCTTTTTTTTTTTTTTTTTGGTCTTTCTTCCTTTTTATCGGTACCGGGGATTGAACTCATGACTGCCTGCTTGCAAGGCAGGCGCTTATGCCACTGAGCTAAATCCCCAGCCCGAGGCTTCATTCTTCTTAATATTTGACCACCTCATGCATACACTAATTTTCTTGCAAAATTCATGGTTTCACTGATTGGTGTATTGTGCAATGGCCAAGTGGGTGAAATAACAGAATGCCTGAAACTTGCCAGTGGCTTGACAATAACAAATTAAACATGTGCATACTTGTGTGTGTATGTGCACACACAGTAAGAGTGGGAAGGAGAGGGAGGGAGGGGGCAGGAAGACTCGGAGAGAAACAGCAAGAATACATACTGATTGAAAAAATCTAGGTGGAGGGTATTTTAGAGTTCTTTTTTTTTCTCAACTTTTCTGTAGGTTTAATTTTTTTCTAAAAGAAAAATGTTGGGGGGAGAAGGAAGCATGATTAGCGGGATCAAGGGAGGGTTTTTATACAATTCGTAGATGTTTTTGAAATTAGAGCACGTGTATCTACAGGGAACCTTCCTGTGCAAGAGGAGGAGGCGATACAAACGGGAGCATCTAGAGTCCAGAGGAGGCAGATGGTACCCCCTGAGGTGGAGGGGAACAGACAGGCTTCTGCAGGGTATCTGGGTGCTCCTAGGCCCTTGTTTGATGATTTCCAATTTCTCCGCCAAGTAAAATCTGAGACTGTCCACAGAGACCAAGAGGGGGTGACAGGCAGGGGCACAGGGCCAGGAAAAAGACTGGTAGAAAAAAGAAAAAAGTGATGGAATTTGTTGTTTGGAGTTAAACCCTAATTGAAGATTAATTTATCTGCTTAGAGAATGAGCCAACAGAGGACAGTTTAAATCCTTACAATGCTAGGTCTCAATTTCTCTATAACATAAGAAGCTTGAAATGGAAGATCTCAAAAGAAGGGCCAGGGATTTAGCTCAGTGGCACAAGTGCCTGCCTTGCAAGCAGGCAGTCGTGAGTTCCACCCTCAGTACCAATAAAAAGGAAAAAGACTAAAAACAAAAGATCCTGCAAGTTCCTACACAGTGATGTGTACCCCAAAGAGCATGTGTTTAGACTGTGTAAGAATTTAGGGCTGAAGTGTAACTTAGTGTACATGAGGACCCTGGGTTTGATCCCCCTACCAAATAACCAAAAACCAATAATGAAAAACATCCTAGTAAAAATTAGGAATAAACAGAAAGACACTTGAAACGTAGGCTGCTTAAGGATTCCAAACCAGGGGAGAGAGGGTTCTCTATGTACTTCAGAAGTCCGGGGCTCTGAGAAATTTCAATTAGGTGCTCTTAGAGTGAGCTTATTATGTGATCTCTTTGAGAATAAATTCTGCTTTCCTGGCTCTCACTGAAGTTCACATCACATGATGTGAAATGAAACAGTGCATTAATGTGATTAACACTGACTAAAGCTCCATGGGTGAGCAAATATAGTGTGAAGTGGGTTCGGGAATTTTAAAATACCTATTATTATTTTTATTTTTATCAGTACTCACAACTGCCTGCTTCCAAGGCAGGCACTTACATCGCTGAGCTAAATCTCCAGCCCAGATCTCTGTATCTTTGAGGGCAAAGGTTGTGCATGAGTCATCCACCTTGGACTCCCTGGTGACTGATGAAGATAGGTAAGGACAGGGGTGAAGGAGAGTTTGCTGCTAACCTCCTCAGAGGTGGCTCCACCACACACTGCTGTGCTGAGAGCCTGACCCTGCTTTACACAGATGGTCTCACTTAGATTTGATGATGCCCCTGGAAGCTGGTATTATTAGCCCCAGGAGGAAACTGAGGGGAAAAGGGGTTAAATAACTTGCCAAAGGTCTTCACCCAGCCAAGTGAAGAGTGAGGCTCCGATGTGTTTAAACCCAAGCCTGTGCTCTTGACCACCTGGCTGTCCAGTCTTTCAACACAGCACAAGATGAACCTTTGGAAATCTTGCATTCACCTGACTGGAAAGCAGTTAGCAGCGTGCTGAGCACAGGTGCTAGGGCATTCAGTGGATATCAGCTACTGTGACTGCCTGAAGGATTGACAGTTTGAATGAATGAGTAGAGACATGATTTCCTGTCTTGTGGGGTTGTTTTCTTTGAATAGAAGATTTCCCCATAGCCTTTGAATGCTTGATCTAATTGTGGCAAAAAGGCATCTGAGAATTGTGTGGCCTGTCCTTTATTAACTGTTAAGGCCAGTCTGACAGGCTGTTTATGTGTAAGGTCAGAGATCAGTCTTTAGCTGCTCTCTTCTCATTCATCTAGCAAAGCACAGAACATAAAGTTTATTGATGCAAAACTGATTGGCAGGCAGGGGTAAGAAAGTGGTGAGGACAGGGAATATCAGAGTTCTAAGTCACTGTAAGTTCTAAGTCAGTCTGCTCCTTCTGTGCTGACTTTCTTGTTCTTCTGGTTGCTGGGTCACATACAACTTCTGACCTAGAATTAAGCAGCTGCGAGGGTGCTCCCAGGGGTGCTCTCATGGAGTCCACTGATACAGAGAAGGAAAGGAGTTGTCTGTTTGGAAAGAGTGATACGTGGAAGGTTAGGTATGGATGGTTTTAAAACTTCACAAATTATGGGCTGGGGGTTTAGCTCAGTGGCATAAGTGCCTGCCTGACAAGCACAAGGTCGCAAGTTCGATCCCCGGTGCCAAAAATTTAATTAATTAAATTAAAAAGTAAAACTTCACAAATTAAAGGTATTCCTGCGTAAGACTCCTTTAGACAGACCCAGTGCCTCGAGAAAGGTAAATCTTACACCTGCACTTTGCAGCCAGCCCAACACCACGCAGCTATGTGGCTCTTCTGTGACCATGAGCTGAGAAAGTGGGGAAAGGCTACACAAGTGGCTCTACTTGCAGTGTTCTTGGGATAAACACCAGGAGGTGGGCTGGAGGTTCCAGGATAGAGAGGTGGACTGAGGAATTGTAGCTCATGCCATAATGATGGAACAAGGACTCAAACATCTTTTTTTTATTTTTTTGAGACAGAGTCTGTATCGCTATGCAGTTCAGGCTGGCCTTGAGTTCACTTTGTAGCCTAGGCTGGTCTTTTTTTTTTTTTTTTTGGCTTTTTCCTTTTTTACCGGTACCAGGGATTGAACTCATGACTGCCTGCTTGCAAGGCAGGCGCTTATGCCGCTGAGCTAAATCCCCAGGCCCTATGTAGCCTAGGCTGGTCTTGAACTTGCAGTGATCCTGATCCTCCTTCCTCAGCCTCTCGAGGGCTGGGATTGCAGGAGTGCACTACCACATTGGGCTTCTATTATTCCCTTTTAAAATCAGGACTAAACTTGAATCTGCCTGATCTGACAAAAAGCATTTAGGTTATTTTACAAGCCATCCTTGTCCTTGTAAAGTCAGAACTGGTAGTTTCCCAGCATACAGCTCTCTGGGGTAAGCCCCTCCCCCTGCAACATATATTCATACAAACCCACACACGCACAAGTGCAACCATGCACACACACAAAGTAAAGTAGTTCACTTAGAAACAATAACAAATTTTAACAAGTCAAAATCCCTAAAATCAAAAGCAAGCAAACAAACAAACAATGTCAAATCCCTAACCCACCCTCATTTTCTCAAGATATACTCCAGGTTCCTATCTGTTTCTGGACAGGCAGGAGGGCAAAGTCCCTTTCCCCTTATCTGCGGCAGGGCGGGGCCCAGGCTGCATTAAATTCTAGAAACTTTCACTGCAGAGCATGGCAGGATTCCGTCCAGTCTCTGCCATGATGAGCTGTGTGAACTTGATGGACAGGACCTGACCCTCCGAGTTCTGTCAACCAATGATAAGCAGACTGCTACTGTAGTACACGGAGCTGTGAGGTGATTAAGGAAGGGTCCTACACACCCACGCACCAACCACTAGCTCTATATAACTCCATAACTGCTGTATTCACAATCGAATAAAGTGTTCTAGGTGCACAGCAAAGGCTTTAGAGCTATTAAAGTGGTCTCCAGACTATCAACAGATTCACCTGGAAAGATTTAGGCCCCACTCCCAACCTACAGGTTAAGAAACTTTGGGAGTGATGCCCAGCACTGTGAACAAGCCCTCCGAGCTCTGATGCCTGCTCAGTTTGAGAATTAAAAATTACAAACTACACTGTAACAGCTAGCCTTTTTTTACTTTGCGTATGAAGTTTCATTGGAACAGAACTACACTCATTCATTTATACATTATCTGTGGCGACCTTCATTCTATCTGACAGAAAATAGGGTCTGAATGTGTGAATTTTTAAATTAATCTTTTGCAATACTGGGACTTGAATCAAGGGCCTTTGCACTGAGCTACATCCCAAGCCCTTTTTGAATTGTGAGACATGTTAAGACATTGAGATAATTTGCTAAATCACTATATTACCCAAGCTGGGCTCAAACTTGACACCTTCCTTTCTCAGCCTCCTAGAGTGTCACCATGCTGGGCTTGAAACTTTTACTGTCACATAATATAAAAGGTTTGCTGCACCACCTCCGGATCTCTCCTTTGTGACTCTGCTGCCAGAGACTCTTGCAACAGCTCCCTTCCTGCCTGCCCAGAATTGCTCTAAGAATTAAACCAGTTAACATATTTGTTACTCTGCAACTAAATCTGGATTTACCAAGAATCTTGGGCCTGGGATTTAGCTCAGTGGCACAGAGTCTGCCTGACAAGCATGAGGTCCTGAGTTCAATTCCTGGCACCCAGTAAATTAGATAAATAAGTACATAAATAAAATGAAGGAGTGTCTTAGTTACTTTCTCACTGCTGGGCCACAATACCTTACCCTAAAGTTAAGAAGGAAAAGGTTATTTAGCGCACAGTGTGCAGAGGTTTCGGCTTATGGTGGCTCCCCGGCAGGGTGGCACTGCAGAGGAGAAGCAGTTCATGGTGGGCAGAAGGCAACCAAGCAAGCAAGGGAATCAACAAGTGACCTTAGCAGCTTCTTTCTGCCCCTTTTTATATTCTGCTGAGGCCACTGAGATGAGGGAAGTGCCAAACCAATCAGTGGCCTGATTTAGTAATCACTCACCCTTAATCCTAGCATGGCACCATGAAATCAATCACACACTCTTGATCCAACCACCTCTGCAAAAGCCCCATTTCTGACTGCATGAGGCTTTGGGGTGACATCTAAACACAAGCCATAACAAGGAGGAACACAAGGAGACCGAGGGACATAATAGTTGAAATCTGCATTGGTTTCCCACTGAGATACAAAAGCATCTTTCAGGACACTGGTTTTTACCACCAAAAATGGCTGCTGCCAGACAGGCACTATAGGGCACAGGTCATGTGTGGGTCTCAGAAACTGCTTTAATATGCTTTTTCTTTCCTATTGCAACTATTGTCTTAGTAAGACCTTGCCTTGAAAACAGTTCCATCTTGCACTTTTTAAAAAAATGTCTAATGAATGTATTAACTGCTTTAACCATAGGGTTAATTCTGAAACATGAAGACACTGGCCCAAAAAAGTGAAGTGACTTCCCCAAATCAGCAGCTAGTCAACATTAAAATAGCATCATAAACTGGATGTGGTAGTGCTCATCTCTAATCCCAGCACTCAGGAGGCTAAGCAGGAGGATTGCCATGAGTTTGAGGCCAGCCTGAACTACATAGCAAGACCTTGTCTCCAAACAACAACACAGCATCTGAATCTCTAGGTCAGTATAAGACATATGTAAAAACTGAAAACAAAATGGGTGATGTAGTCCCAAGAAAAGGTAACCCTATACATTGCTTGTAGTTTCAGAGGTATGACGCTCCATGTCTCATCTTTAGTGAGATTCAATAAGAGGGACAGACTGGGTGTCCAGTCCTTTATTGTATGTGTGTGTGTGGTAAGAACTGAATCTTGGGTCCTCATATTGAGCCACATTGCTGGCCCTCCAACCCACCACCTTTTCTTTTGAGTCAGAATCTTGCTACATTGCGTGCCATGCCCACTGGTGTCTAGTTTTTTGAGAAGACAGGGCTCTACTGTTTTTTTTTAATTGATGATTTATGATTGTGTAAATTCACAGAGTACAAAATGATGTAATTTATGAATACAATGTAGAATAAATCAATTTGAGACAATCATTGTCTCAAATACTTAACATTTGTTCATAGATATCTGAAATTTATTCCTTGTAGTTTTGAAGTGTACAATACTTGTTAACTATATATACCATGCAACAGAACTTAACAACTATCTCTGGAGTCATTGTGCTTATCCCAGTTGCTCTTGTTGCTGCCCAAGTCTTCTGGTGTGTTCTGCCTTCCAGAGTGGTGTTCCTGTGAGGACAGTCAGTGCCACAGCAGGCCACTCGGGAGGCCCATGCCCCTTTGAAAAGGATCAGACCAGTATCCTGTGTTTGTCCACTCTCTGGTATTCCTATTGTGTTCTTCCTGAAACCTGGTTATCTGGGGCAGAGGCCTTTAGAACAGCATCAGACTCTGGGTGAATTTGACAGAAGTCTTCAAACCTGAAGATCCAACTGCCTGTTCTTGTCTAAACCTACAAAGGCAGCAGAAGCTAATGACCACACAACAAAAGCTGCAGCACACAATATGAGGCAATAGGAAACCGGAAAGAGATGAGGGAAAATCAATCATTTATTTAAATGAAACTAAAGGAAGAAATGGAGTGTGGAGAAAGCCTTAACAACTCAGTTCTTAGCAAGGCATAATGGTGCCCACTCATAATTCCAGCACTCTGGGAGGCTGACACAGAATCACAAGTGAGAGCCCAACCTGGGCAATTCAATGAGATTCTGTCTCAAAATGGAGACAGTTGGGGCCTGGGATTTAGCTTAGTAGTGTAAGCACCTGCTTGGCAAGTGTGAGGTCATGAGTTTGATCCCTGGTACAAAAAATTTTTTTTGAGACAAATTTTTCTTTCTTTTTCCTTTTTAGCGATACCGGGGATCGAACTCATGACTGCCTTTCAAGGCAGGCGCTTATGCCGCTGAGCTAAACCCCCAACCCCTGACAAATTTTTTTTTAAAGGCTGTAGATGTAGCTCAGTGTAAAGTTCCTGGGTTCAATATTCTGTACCACAAACACAAATTTTAAAAACTTCTCAAGTCTTGGGCTGGAGGTGTAACTCAGTGGTAGAGCACTTGCCTACCATGTATGAGGCCCTGGTTTCTATTCCCAGCACTGAAAAAAGCAAAACTAAACCAAACCAACCGTTTACGTAGGGAGCTCAGGGAGCTAACTGGGCAACCTGGGTCTCCCTATCTGGCAGACCTAGAAGACACTTGATCTCAAATAAACGGATAAACACGTACAGTTCTATCCAGGCCACAGCCAGTAAAGCAAATTAAGATCAGTGGTGCCTTAGAGATTTTGAAATGGAGTGTGGTAGGACCGGTAGAAATCACTGAGTGCCGTGGAGCTGGTGAGCTTAAAACTAGCAGTTTGGGCAAACAGTGCAGGATCTGGAGCCATAGTTTCTTGCAGAATTCTCACTTGGCTGCCACCTGCAGTGTGCCTGGGGATTTCCTGTCTCCTGCTGCTTCCTTTTCCTCCTGCATGAAGAGGGTCTCCCTCACGGGTGTGAGGATTGAATGTGATTAAAATAAACATGCTCTCCAGGACCCGTTCCATATGCTCAGTAAATATTTTTTATTATAATCTTCATCCTTTGGGATTAGAAACTATGTTTTCTGGCTCAAGACCCTGAAACACTACAGCGTACAATTCTTTATGGTGCTGAAACCTTGGAGAACCTGTTGCGGTCACCTGCACGCTCGGCCCTGCTGCAGGCTTGTGTGGCATGGAAAGCCCGGAAATGTGGCTGCCACTCTCCCTGATGGCTCCTAAGTGCGCTGTATGGAACCAAGCGAGTTCTGGCCCGGAGCGTTTTCACCTCCTGTGCTATCCTCTGCCCATTTCCCCACCACACAGGGACAGGGTTTGCAACTTTGTTCCATGTAGGCATCTGCTCACAGGAGGAAAATTGTCACTGACCTTATATAAAGTAACATCTCCACTGCTACTGTGGGATCTAGGCTTCTATCCAAGTAGGCGTTCCTTGTTTTCTATTTGTATTCTTTGGTATCGGAATAGAACTCAGGACCTTCTGCTTCCCAGGCAGGCACTGGGCCACTAAGCTATATCCCTGTCCCTGCCTTCCATTTCTTGATGGCATTCATTATCCTCACACAGAATATTATATTTACTCACCTGGTAAGGCTTCTCTTACTCTGTCATGGGCAAGCAGCTAATGCCAGCTCTTTGTCACACCTGGGCAGAAGGCAGCACATACTCCAGTCTATGTAACTAGAATGTGGGTGGGTCAGCAAGGTACATAGTGGGCTGCATTCCAGGTAGAGACTGTAAGAACAAAGGCCCTGAGGCAGAACCACATGGGTGAGCCTGGAGTGCAGGAGTTGGGGGGAGTGGGACAGCAGTGGGATAATTCCAAGACTTTTTAACCTAAATGAGTGGAGCTGACATTTGCTAAAATGAATTAGCTGGGAGTGGGGTGGGGATACTTTGAGGCATGTAGGCAGAAGCATGCGCCAAGGGTGAGGAGTACACTGAGGGTTTACACACAGCCTCTCCACCGTACAGCTGAGGGGACTGAGGTGTGAGGGAATTGTGTCCTCAGACTCCAAACTCAAACACAGAAAGGATAGCAGTTCAACCAAGGTCGCGCCTCCAGTTGTTCCCCGAGGAAGTACTGCTCACTGGAGAAAGCAGAGAAAGGACTTGCTCGAAGATGGAAAAACCAGGCACAATTTGCATAAGGTAAACTCTGACATCTTTTCCCATTCTGGAATACCAGGGCAAAGGCCCTGGGTTCGAGCAGGGACAGGCTGCACACAGAGCAGAGCAGACAGGGCTCCAACCCCACTGGCCTCAGCCAGGATCGTCACAGACCCAGCTGCACGTCCACTCACGCTGCCACGATGCCAAACCAAAGGCATAAACATAGAACATTGGTTTGAAGCTATTATTATGGGTTACAATGTTTTTTTTTCTTTTTGTTTTATTTTATTTTAAAGAGAATTAAAAATAATAAAAATGATAAAGAATTTCAAAACAAGATGATAGGAAATTAACAGTGGTTGTTATATTGTATGTTGTCTTCAAAATAGTTGCTCAGATTACCAGATATAGGCATGCAAAATTGATCAAACATAAGCACTAACTGTTCCTTTCAACTTTTTTGACTTTTTGAGACAGGATCTTACTCTGTTGTTGAGTTCAGGCTGGCTTTGAACTCATTTTGTAGCCCAGGCTGGCCTTGAACTTGAGAACAGTCCTCTTGCCTCAGCCTCCCCAGTGCTGGGATTGCAAGTCTATACCACCATGCCCAGCTACACTCAATTTTGACTCTTTTTCTTCTGGGTTGTTTCTTTTCTATTCTTTTCTTTTTTTGTACTCAAGGTTGAACCCAGGGCTTTTACATTGAGCTGCATCTCAACAGGTTTTTTTTTTTTTTTTTTTTTGTACCAGGGATTGACCTCACAACCCGGAGCTTGCAAGGCAGGCATTTATGCTGCTGAGCTAAATCCCCCGCCCGCTTTTTGTATTTTTTGAGCTGGGGTCTGGTTTAGTTGCCCAGGATGGGCTCAAACTTGTGATTCTCTGGTCCTGCCTAAACCTCATCTGAAATTATAGCTATGCACCACTGTGCCTGGTTGTTTTTCACATTTTCCAAGATTTGTTTCTCTAGGGCTTGGGGATTTAGTCCAGTGGCATAAGCACCTGCTTGGCAAGCATGAGGTTGTGAGTTTAATCCCCCATACAAAAAAAAAAAAAAAAAAAAAAAAAAAGACTTGTTTCTCTAGAAAGCATTTACTAAGATTCTATTAGTGGAATGGGTTTTCAGAGCCTTGGTACTGTGTGGTCTGCAGATAGTATCAGAATCACCTTCAAACTGCTGGAAATGTACCATCTTAGACCCTACTCCAGACTTGCTAAATTAGAACCTGCATTTTAGCAAGATGGGTAAATATGCTCATTAGTTTTGAGAAGCACTGGTATAGCGCAGTGATCTATAAATTTTTTCTATAAAGGGTCATACAGAAAATAGTTTACTGGGTCAATTATGACTGAACTCTGCCACTGCAATGCCCAAACAGTCAGACAATATATAAAGGAATGCGTGACTGTGTTATGAGAGTAAAATTTGAATTTCACTTCATTTTACTTATTGATTGGTTCTTTTGAAACAAGGTCTTTTTATGCAGTCCAGCAGGCCTTGAACTATGTAGCTCAGGCTGGCCTGAAACTCATAGCAATCTACCTGCCTCAGCCTTCCTATAGCCACTATGCTTGAGTAAATTTTACTGAATTTTAGTGTCATGAAACATTCTTTTTATATTTTACAACACTTAATGATGTAAGCCAGGCACAGCAGCATGTATCTGAAGCCCCAGCTATTCAGGAAGCTGATGAAGGCTTGCTTGACCCTGGAAGTTCAGGGGAAGCCTGGGCAACATAGTGAGACTTTTTTATTTTAAAGAGAGTAAAACCAAGCAAAATGGAACAAAGCCAATCAAAACAAAACAGTATAAGTGACAGAGGCCTTCAAAACAAAAGAAAATAACAATGGTTACCATAATGACTCTTGTTGTCTTCAAAATATCTGTAGATAGCGACATAGTAAAAATGCAACAAAATAGAACAGAACCAATAAAAACAAAACAATGAATACAATAAAGGACTTGAAGACAATAGTAAATCCAACATGACTACCATAATATATCTTGTTATCTTTGAAATAGCTGCTCATGCCATCAGATATAACAAAATCAAACAAAACAGAAAACCCAACCCAACAATGAAAATGATACAAGACTTCAATAGGCAATGGCTACCACTTTCAGATCCCCCCAGATGCCTCACTGTGTACCATTATCCTCTGGATAGATGATCAGACTACTGGCCCTAGACCTGCAAAGTCAGTGAAACACGAAGCACCACAAGCATCAAATTGCATTGCACAATAGCTATCATAGCAGCCTGTGTTTCTTCCGATCAGCTGGTTGCTTGGGGTGGGGAGCAGGGTTGGCTCTTCTTGTTTCCCAGCCTGCACAGCAGAAGGGGCCGGGGGCTACCTATCCCTTGGTGGTGGACCCTGCATGGTGCTGGTTCGCAAGGAGGGCTTGCTTCTTGTTGACTTCTTGTTCTCTTTCCCTGCAGTCTGCAAATGACGAGACCATTTGTTGAAAATAAAAAAGCAGAAATCTTTTTTGACTCCCAGGCTATCCAAAAACAAGCAGAGTAGATTTAGCTTAGTGGCTGTAGTTTACTGATCTCTGGTCCATAACTGCCCATCTTAAGACTTTTCTTTTAAATGAAATGAGGCAAGCAGTTTTTGCCTAACCAACTAGACCTCCCATTGGAGATATAAATCATTTAATTGATTTTCTTTTGTTTTGCAGTACTGGAGATGGAATCCAGTTTTTTTTTTTTTTTTTTCTACTGTGCAACATTCCTAGAACACCACTACTCTTTTTTCAAGACAGGGTCTCTCTTAAATTGAGCTGGCCTCAAACTTTTGATCTTTCCCTGAGCCCCGAGCAGCTGGGGTTTCAGGTGTGTCACCAAACCCAGCAGTCTGTGTCCCCCATCAACCTTTTTGGTCTTACAGGAAGCCCCTCCCTGCCTTTGTGGAAAGGCTGAGATACACTGTGGGATGCAATGTTCCAGCCTAGTGCTGGGTGTGTGGCATTCACAAGTTGGCCTTTCTTCTCTTCCCACCTTTATTTATTTATGTTTGGTACTGGGAATCTAACTCCGGGCCTCCCATCTGCCAGGCAGGTGCTGTGCTGCTCATCCTCTTTTTCTGTGTTCCCTTTTATCTGTTTTCTCTTCGATCTTCCCATCTTCTTTGTATAGTAATATTGGAAAGTATTCAAACCCACAGACCTTAATTTCTTCAGGGAAATTTTAGCATTGCTCTCATGTGGAGTTTCATCTTTTACATTTCAGAGTTGTACTCGCCACATGATTAATGCTGCACTCTTCAATGAAGCCTAACAGGCCCCACGTTGCCTGCAGGCACTTTGATGTACTTCTTGCATCCCTATGGGCAAGGATTGCAAGACTGTTCCTTCCGGGTCTGTGTCAAGAGTTTATCAATAGGGGCTGGGGATTTAGCTCAGTGGCATAAGCGTCTGCTTTGCAAGCAGGCAGTTGTGAGTTCGATCCCTGGTACTGATAAAAAGGAAAAAGACAAAAAAAAAAAAAAGTTTATGAATAAACATTATTGTGGTCTCATATGAAAAATCAATGGAAGACTCTATTTAAGAAAACATTTTGTCAGTTTCCATCAGTACTCTTTTTATAGTTTTGTTTCTGAGAAAGACCAATATGGAAGACTCAGTAAGTAGGTAAGGGGAGGGCATTTTACACTGCAGGGGAGTTCTTCTTGCCTCCCCCTGTTGGCAATGGGAGGAGTTCAGGGCCTTGTGCAAGTTAGCCAAGGGCTCCACCACTGCGCTGCGTCTACCAGCCCTAAAGTGGAATTCATTCTTTTATCTATTTTACATTTTGGGTGCCGAGAATAGGAAAAAGATAACGATAAAAAAATCTACGATAAAAACGAAAAAGACAAAAAAAAAATATTAAAAAAAGTCTAGGGCTGGGGATTTAGCTCAGCGGCATAAGCGCCTGCCTTGAAAGCAGGCAGTCGTGAGTTCGATCCCTGGTACCGATAAAAAACGAAAAAGACAAAAAAAAAAAATATTAAAAAAATCTAATATTTGAGGAGGGAGTTACATTTGGGAGAAGGGAGGCTGCACCCCAACACAGTAAGACTGTTCCAGAGCAGTGGCTGAAGAAGAACCAACAGCTTGGTAACAGAGAGACTTGCTTCGGCAGAGCTGAGCCCAGCCAGGCAGCAGGAGGGCACGGAACGAACAGAGATGGAATGGGAGTGGGTAGACGACATTACAAGGTTGACATCTGGGTTTTTAAACTCCACAATGTACTTTTCTGGCAACCACACACCTTTCCATTTTGTTAGAAATAACAGAAAAAAGGAATTAATACTGACTAACATGCCTATTCTGTCAGGCATAGCTCCAAGGTATTGCCTAACATCATGTCATTTCGATTTTAATAAAAGCTACTCGTGGAATTAGTATGCTGGCCTACGTTTTCAGATGAGGAAACCGAGAGGTGAAGATGGGCCTAAAATCTCGTTGTGAGACTACAAACACCCACTATGTGTTCTACACTAGTCTGCCTTGGATACTTCATAATGGAAATAATGTTCACAGAATGCCTTACTTCCACATATCCGTGGCTAGGGGTGTAGGCTCTGTATATTGCATCCCAAGCAAAACCAACCAAAACCAAAACCAAAAAACAAAACCTCCTAAATTCTTCAAGTAGAGTAAGAACATGAACAAACAGATTGAAAGCTTTATGTTCTCTATTCTCCCACCACAGATGTAATGCTTTTATTAAAAAGATACCAAATCCTTTTTCTGCTGAAAAGAAAATAGTACCACTGACTATCTCAGAACAGTGGCGCTCCAGTTTCCTAAGTGGAACTGTGTGCTGCCAAATCAGTCTAATAACAAATGTAGAAATCGCTGGCAGAAATGTGAAGTTCTATTCAGGGACCATTAATTCAGGGATTACTGTCTGGCATGTGTAGTATCTCACTTAATTCCCCAACGGTCCTGTGAAGTAGTAACACCAATTTATGGAGAAAGCTCATTTGGAGCAGCTGAGCAGCTCCTATAACACTACACTGCTAGTTAAGAGGCAAGATCGGGTTTAGAACTGAGCATCTTGAGCAGGCTCTGTCTTCCTGGCCACCAGGCTGCAGGTTCCTTCTAGAACCCAACCAGCACAGCAACGCAGCCACACAGGTGAAGTTCTGAGAACCGTCAACCCACTTGGTAAATGTGCGACCACAGTTTTGGTGAAGAAAATGCTAGTCAAGTGTGGGACAAGTGACAAGAGGGTTAAGATAATTCTTAGTTTTTCCCCCAGTATCTTGTTCAGAACACCTTCCCCATGAGTTGACAACCAATCAACATAAAAAACAAACAAACAAACAAACAAAAAAAACCAGAGTGGTGGTTCCAAAACAGTGTCCCCAAATCTTCTTCCTGGAGACATATACATATTATAGGCCCAAAGAAGTACAGCAGTAAAGGACTCTATTTAAACTTAATCCAAAATTTTCCCAAAGTTACTTGATCAAGTAACCTTTACTTTTCTGGTACTAAGAATCAAACTCAGGACCTCACACTTGCCAGGCAGGCACTGTGCCAATGAGCTATAACCTCCGCCTTTTTTATTTTTTGCTGTTTTTGACAGTGTCTAGCCATGTAGTGCAGGCTGGCCTCACTTATGTAACCCAGGGTGTCTTGAACTCACAGTGATTCTCCTGTCTCAGCCTCCCAAGTGCTGGGATTATACACCTGGCTCTGATGCGTTACCGACCTATCACAACCTGCAGAATACCTTGGGGAATGGCAAAACTAGGCTGAAGCATGTCCGGTCAGCCAGCTCTGTAGTTCTCTGTGACTATGAACATTTATCCAGAGGACTTTTTTTTTTGACAGGGTCTATGTAGTCCAGGCTGGCCCCAAACTGTTGTGGGATTATAGGACTTCATTCACTCCCTTCAGGCAAGAAGACGGCCAGTATGAACATTTTCTAGCTCCATAAAGAAGAAAAACTTTTTTTCAGTACTGGATACTGAATTCAAGGGCTTCCTGTCACTAAACCATGAGGTGTGATCAAAAGATATGGCGAATACATTTTAAAACTTACAGTAAGATACACTGCTATGAATCTTCCACAAACTATTCCAAACATCAGTTCATCATTCTTGCTACCTTCTGAAGCAGTTCTGGTCTTCTTTCACGACTGTCTTTGGTGGTACTATCATGGCTACTACAATGTCCTGAATTGATTTAAAACATTTATCTAGCTAGGTGTGGTGCCTGTAACCCCACCACTCAGACTGAGGCAGGAGGATCACCACAAGTTCAAGGCCAGCCTTGGCTACAGAGTGAGTTTGAGGCCATCCTGAATGAAATAGTGACACCCTATTATCTCAAAAAATAAAAATATACCTTTCATGGTCTTTTTGACTTTGGGGCAAGGGCCAGTAGTCACATGGTGCCCTATCGGGTAAGGTGGATGAGGACATGCTTTAAAGGAGGCTGCCTTTTTTACTGGATGGTGGTACTCTAACTAAATAACTTCTAGAGCTGCTTCAGACAGTAGCAGGAGCCTGGCAAGGTGGTATGTGGCTGTAATCGCAGCACTTAGGGGAGTGAGGCAGGACTGCCACAGGCTAGCCTGGCCTGCACAGTGAGTTGAAGTTCATCCAGAACTACATTGCAAGACCCTGCCTCAAAACAAAACACAAGGGTCAGGGATAGAGCTCAAAAAAAAAAGGTCAAAAAACAAAGAATGTTGGTAACAAGGGGGAGCATTTTGAGGGGAATTAGGGACAATGTAGCTTTCACTGTAATTTTTTTTTTCTTTTTGAGACAGGATTTTGCTATGCAGTTCAGGCTGGCCTTGAGCTCACTATAAAGCCCAGGCTGCCTCAAATTGCCAGTGGTCCTTATTACAGGTATGTACCACCATGTCTGGCTCTCTGTATTTTTAAACATTCATTGTATTTTTTTATTATACTTTGTACCTCCCCAGCCATTTTTTTTGTTTTGAATCAAGGTCTTGCTAAGTTGCTGAGACTCAGTTTCAACCTATGATCTTCCTGCCTCCGCCTCCCACAGAGTACTGGGATTAGAGGCACACGCATCATGCCCAGCTTCCATCCATGTCTGAGTCTACCACAACTGATGGGAACTGGGCCTTTGTACATGGCATGTTCCCTTTTGCCAGTCCATGATACACTGTCTCACAAAGTTACCATGTGACCAAATACCCTTTAAACTCAAGTTTAAGTCACATTACATCCTTCTTTTTCTGGGTCAAATCAGCCCTAGTAGTTATATTCTCTTAACTTACTGCTCGTATTTCCATTTACATGATGTTAAATATATGGAAGCAATCAGTAATCTATGTGGTGAGCAAACTGTTTTTTGCAAACTCATTAAATTTGTGAAGAGTGGAGCTATGAGTAGGCTTATGATGGTGTAAGTCCCTTGACATGTAGAGAAAAATGAACTAGGAGGAAAACTAAAAATCTCACCTCTCCTCATGTTCGCATTTACTTAAAAATGGAGTTACAGGCCTCTCCAGTTTTGAAATTCTTTAGCTCCCAGCCCTCCTTTACACACAAGGTAGGAGAAGCCTGCAAAGGCTGGATCATGGTCCCACGCAGCTTTTCTGTAAAGCTGGGCTGGAACTCAGCTTTTTGTTTAGTGCTCTTTCTCTTGTATTATTTCCTAATTTGTAATGACCTTTATGTCACTCTAAGGAGTTACTTTTTTGATTACTGGCCTTAAGAGCGTGCTTTGTTCGCTTCCCGTTTTGTGCTGGAATGTGAGGTAAACCACATGCACACCATTCCTCTTTGGATCTCTTCCCCTATCACAGATGGTGAAGGCTGCTCTCTTGGTGTCCCATGCCTTGCCTTTTGCGGCAAGCCTCTGCCCACCTTGTTCTCCTTCTCTTTGGAAATATGTGAAACCTTCCAAGCAATCAAGGATCATGAGGAAAACAACGCTGTTTGACTTTCTCCAGTGGGCTTGAGTTTGCCCCAGGAGTCTGGAAGGATAGAAAACAAAAACTGCCTTGGTGACCCATGCCTGTAATCCCAGCACTCTGAAGGCTGAGGAAGGAGGATGTTTAATTCACACTCAGCCTAGGGAACTCTACAAGATAGTCTCAAAATTTAAAAAAAATTTAAAGGGGGTGAGGTCTGAGGTCTGAGTAGGCTCAGTGTGAAGGTTAAGTTCAGTTCCCAGTATCAAAAGCAAACCACTCCTTCTGACCCAAATACCCTGCTCTCTTCTGCCAAAAGGCAGGTCTGTACCCAGTTAATACACAGAATAATGAGGAATAAGAAAGACGTAAGGGTTGAAACTCCACTTAGAATAGTTGGCCAACCCAGAAAAAGTTCAAGGCTGTTGTTCAAAGTCTGAATTTTTTTCCTTGTGATTTGCTGTAATTCCTAAATTATCTTTAGACATCTGGACAAGGATGCAACAGAGGAAAAAAAAAGGTAGATGCAATGAAGTCGGTATCCTGGCTCCTGGGAGTCGGTGAAGAAAGCGACTTTTTCTTTGGTGATGAGGGTCACAGTAGGAATTCCTTCCTAGGAGGAACCTTTCTTCATTCCTCAACAGATAGTCAGTGAGCAGAGACCTATTCAAGCACTTGTCCTCTGATCCCCCTACATGGCCCGGAGGGCCGGAGAGGGTTGAAATGGAACCTCCCGCTGGGCGCCCCGCGAGAGCCCCGGGACGCCCGGCTCCCCCTCCCCCACGGAGGGCCGTATCCTGGTGGGGGCTCAGCTCCGGGCCCAGGGCACCTTTCGTCCCTGGAGACACTCCGCCCACCAGGTATGTCGAGGGAAGGTGCAGCACCCTTTCGGGGCACCCCGTAGGGTTATGGGAGCGGCACGGCAGCTTCGGAGAGCGGCGGGCCAACGAACCCGCCAACACGGTGGGCCAGCAGACTCACTAACGCGGCGTCTCCGGGAAATCGGGTGGGGTCCGCCGGCTCACGGGCTTTTCTCCTCTTGAATCCATCCCTGGGCAAAGCGAGCCCACTTCTCACCCAAACTTATGTAGAACAGGGTTTAAGCGGACGCGGGGGTCGGCGAGGCGGATCCGAGAAAGGCCAGCCGGCAGCGAAGACCCTCCAGCGCCGGCCGGCGGCCCGCAGCGCAGTCCAGCCGTTCAGGCCGGGGGTCGGTTACACAAAGACCGCGCAGGAACTCCGAGATTCGGGCCGCCCAGCCCGCCTGCGCTGCCGGTCGCCTACCCTCCGCCGCTAGGCCAGACGCGGCCTCCTCCGCCGACGGGGTCCCCTGGTTAACCCCTGCCCGCCAGCCCGGCTGCTGATTGGAGGAGGCGGTGCGCCAGGGCAGCGGGGACACCCCCACCTTCCCCACCTCTCCCCCTCCTCCCCCCACTGTCGGCGCTTCCCCCACCCCCCCCAGGGCCCCCCCACCCTCCCAGCCGTGCAAATCTCGCGAGGAAACACGAGGTTTCACTAGTGTGTTTACACCGATCACTACTAATCCGGACCGAACCGATCCGGATTAAGGGGCCGGAGGCGGGTCCTGGGCACCAGCGGTTCCGACCCCCCCCCCTGCCCACCGCGCCGCACCCGAGTGGCCCCGAGCCGAGCGGGCCCCCACCTTCTGGCCCGGCCTGGGCTCTCCTGCGCCTCTCTTGGCCTTTGTCCGGCGCCAGGAGGCCGGTCCCGCGCCCCCCGCGGCCGTCCGGGCCCGGGCCCGCGTCAGGCGCCTGGCTCTGTACGCGAGCCCGGGGATCTGCGGCCTTCGCGGCCCCCTACCCCCGCCCGCCCTCTTGTGGAGCCCTGCGCCGGCGACGGCTGCCCGGGCGGGGGTTTGCGGCGCTCAGGAGAGGCCCCGGCTCCGCCCCGGGCCTGCCCAGGGGGAGAGCGGAGCGACCGGCAGCCGGGCCGGGTCGGGGCCCCTCCCGGGAGGAGTGTGGAGCGGCGGCGGCGGCAGGTGAGAGGGTGAGCCCGGGCGGGGGAGGGCGCCGGGACCTGTGGCATTAACCGTCCCAGGGACCCCCTCGGCCTGAGAAGGCTGCGCTTCGGGCCCACTCGGGCGCAGCTTGGGGTCGCATTTCCACTGCGCTAAGGTAGAAGGGGCTCCCTGAGGGCTGCGGGTCGCCGAGGGGCCGGAACGAAGACGGGGCAGGCCCAAGCCTGGGACTGAGGCTGCCGGCTGGCTGGGAGACAGGAGGGCGACCCTGCAACTGAAGGCCGCGGAGCCTCCCAGGCGCCCCCGAGAGCTAGCTCTGCCTCCCTCCTTGACAGGTGGGCCTGGAGTTGGGCAAAGTTTGGAGCCAGTGAGGGGCGCCAGGCCCAGGCCCCATCGGTCTGCTTCCCGGCTGCGGGCTACAGGGAGGAGCCCAATCCCAAGCCCCGCTGGAATGAGAACCAGTGGATGTTTCTTTAACATGAGTTGACATTACATGGAATAAGCGCTGGGGCGTCATTTTCCGGGCCAGGCCTGAGGATGGAGGTTTGGAAAATGCTGCGAGAGACCTTGGGGTTGGGAAGAGACTGCAACCTCTGCCATTCCGACCTGATTAGGATAGGGCAAGAGGGGAGAAAGGCTACTTACCAACTTAGGAAAAACTCATTTGCTCACTCTTTTTTCTCTCTTTTCCTTTTTTAAAAGATGCCTTTCTATGCCTTCGAGAATTTCCTATTTCCCACTCTAACCTGTACCCGGCATGTGTGGATGAAACTTTAATTTGTCACCCTTTCATTCCCCTTTGCCCCAGGCTCTCAATCCAGGAAGGGAAATAAAACTGGAAAGGTTGTTACTAGAAATTGTGTAGTTGTTAGATCGCAGAGGAGAATGTTTGATTCATGTTTTTAGTGAACTTTAAAATCTCGCTAATCATTCTAATAAGTACTTAATATGTTTTAAGTAAGGGGTTCTATGTAATGATATATTCATTTCCTATTTTTAATTGAGCAGAGGATTTTCAGCAGATCGTTCGAGAGTTGATTTCTTGCAAAGATGGACATATTTGCTCAAAGTAATCTGTGCATTAATTGGTCAGGAAAGGAGTTTAAAAATGGTGTCCTCCTGCCCCTCCCTGCTTGGAAGGAGTGCTAAAAGCAGATGTCTGGAGTCAGAGAAACCTACTGCTCCAGGGAGTGGTCAGAAAAAGATTTCCTAAAGAGATTGTTATGGAGCTGTATTGATTTCCTGAATGAATGCAGGTTGATGGTTTTACATTGGGTTCTTTATTAAATTTAAAATAATTAATTCCTATTTTCATGAACTACTGTGGGCTCTTTAGAGAAAGGTGATATATAGCAGTAACTGAAGTTATTTGTAGCTTCTGATTCATACCATATTCTTTTGAAATTATCAATGATTCATTTTATTTTTAGTTTAAGAACTAGTTCCTGTATGTTTGGGAAAGAAATACTTGAACGTACTTAACTAGATTCAAGGATTGATAAGACTTTTTTTTTTTTTTACAAGCCCACATATTTTTTTTTTCCCTTCTGCTCAACTTTTATAGAGACTATATAAGGAGTTTGGAGTTTTTTTTCCCTGATTAAAATCTAATTAGAACTTGGGAATAGTAAGTGGCCCTCAGAGGAGGGCTGCTGAACTGCTAAATAAGTTTAGCTAACTTACTGTTTTTTTTTTTTTTTTTAATCGGTACCCGGGATCGAACTCATGACCGCCTGTTTACAAGGCAGGTGCTTATGTCTCTGAGCTAAATCCCCAACCCCTAGGTAACTTTCATAACATCAAATAACTATTTTAGGCTGGGCATGGTATGCACAAACCCAACACTTGGGAGGTTGAGGCAGGAGGGTGCCCACCCTGGGCTACATACTGAATTCAAGGCCATGGAGTCTCTATTGCAACCCCCCCAAACCAATTTGTAGTACATTATAGTTTATCATGTGTATACTCTGTCTCTTTGAAGTGTACCTGTATGTGACCAGTGAAATAATCACTGTGAACTTTAAATAAGACTGGTTCCACACATTTTAGTTTTTAAAAAAAAATTTTTTTTTTTTGGATAACAGGAATCAAGCTCATGATGTGCTTGCCAGGTAGACACTGTGCAGCTGAGACATTTCCTGACCCCAGTTTTTATAATTTCACAGCCTACTTTTTCTTTTTCAGTAGAAATGATGGAAGAATTGCATAGCCTGGACCCACGCCGGCAGGAATTATTAGAGGCCAGGTTTACTGGAGTTGGAGTTAGTAAGGTAAGAATGATAATGAGCATTATTATTAGTATAATTTAAATATATTTTATAAATGATTAAGAGCAGTTTGGGTGGAACCTAGTGATAGGTTTACAGAGGAGAAGATTTGACTCATGGTTCCAGTGAACTTTTAAGACTTGCCAGTCATTCCAATAGAAGGTTTTCTATATGGGAATATATGTTTTTCTCCTGTTTGAATATAGGAGAGGTTTTCTGAGGGACTTGTTGCAAAGATTAAACTAGCAGGATATATACCTAGATTCTAAGGAGATCAAACTCAGGACCTTGCAAATGCTTTACCAGAGGGTTACGTTCCTAGCCTCTAAGCTGTATTTTGATAAAATATCTCAGACACTCAAAAGAACTTAATTATAATATCACATGGCTTCATTGCACTGAGTTTTGAGGGGTTATATGGTAGAGTGTTGAAGAAATGCTTCTGTGAAGTCTGTCAGTTCTCCAGATCTGCAGCTCAGCAGATTCCTCTTGGTTGCACCCTCTGAATGCTTTCTCACTCCTCCTATTTACCCTTGGTTCATTGTTTTTATTTTTATTGTGGGAATGTAAAATAAGGTCAAGTTCCTGTTAATGTGCAGGTGGGAAATTAAGCAGTGTTAGAGCTGCTTGTGTGACATTATGTGTGTAGTTGTGTGTTCCTTACTTTCATAGGATTTAGTGTGATGTGTATATTTATGATGTTTTATTTAAAAGGTTCACTGATTCAAGATTGTCACATTGTTTTAGTTTAATTCTGTGTCTTATGTTAACCTAGGTGTTAATCTCATGCTTTGGTTAGTATTTTCGAGGAGAATGCATATGTTGAGGTAGCTTTTTTGATGGGTTACACAACTTTGGTGAAAAATAGTTTCTGTTTATTCTGCAAATGTTGAGTGCCTACCATATGCTAAGCACTCTGTAAGGTGTTATGAATAATACCTCAGTGTAGTGTCTGCAGTATGGAGAGACAGGAGAGACTGTGTGGTGATGAGAGCTGTATTAGAGCTGTGACAGTGATATGGGAACATGGGATTTGTTATACATTAGTTCTTAATTTCTTTGGCCAGATTAATTAAATAACTGACTGGTGTGACTGTACCACTGAGTGTTATACATTGATTTAACTTGTACTGACAAATTCTCTGACCTAGCTTCAGATAAAATTGAGCAGTATATTTGAGTATCAAGTTGATTCAGTTGATTACTTATTGATGACCTTTGATGTGTCTTTTAACTTGGGAAATCGGCATATAAAGTTCATATCCAAATCTGTCTACTGAAATGAGTAAGTCAATAAATTTATATTCAAATTATATATAGTTTCAGTTTATTGATCTTGTTGGTAAGATGTTTTTCTTTGGTTTTGTTTTTAGGTTCATGATGGTTGTACCAAGTATACATAAGGGATAGGAGTGAGTGCTGTTCTGAATTTTGCTGCCTAGACACAATTTAAAATCATAACTAGGATGTCAGAAAATCTTAATGTAGTAACCTTTTTGTTTAGTAGGAAATTCTATCTGTAACAAAGAGAAAGATGTTCTCTAGAGAAGTTCATCTATATATATTCAGTTGTTCTTACACCAATAATTATATATTTTGATGTTTCCATTGTGGTAAGTATGTTTTTTACAAAAAATGTTATTCAGGAACCAGTAGAAAAGTATCCTATAGTAAAGAAGCTTCAAGAAAATTGTTCTGTAGTTTGTGGTCTAGGAAGAACTAAAAAATGACATGTTTTTATGAGACTTCTCTTCCTTACAAGACATTGAACCTCTTAGGCCAATGGAATTGGGACTGGGGAGGCAGTGGTACTGGGAAAAGAGTGCTTTTGGAGAAACTCCTCCTAGATTTGAATTAGTTATGGGTGACAATTTTTCAATTGAGGTATCACTGTGTTGATGCCAACTTTCAGTTTTGTTAACATCAAGAGTCAGCCCTTGCTGCTCCATGTGGAAGAGCAGATTGACTTGTTGGTGGTGGTGCCATCTAGTGGGACTAGTGCAGCCTCATGGGCTGTCTCTCCGTTTTTCCTAACTATTCATAACATTGCAGTACATACTTTTGATGTCCTTAGAAGGAAGAAAGTCAGTGCTACTGTGGATTCTTTTCTAATAGACAAGAGTGTTATAAGTAGCTTCAGTCTTTGAACTTCATGGTTATTGTAGATCTTCTGTCGTACTACTTCAAGTTTCCCTTAGAAAATCAGGTATGCGTCATGAAATTTAGGCTAAATCAAAATTGCTAAGCTATCAGGTTTATTACTTACATTTAAATTGCCATTACTTATATTTAGGTTTTTTTTTTTTCTTTTGTCTTTTTGAGACAGGGTGTCTATGCAGTTCAGGCTGGCCTTGAGCTCACTTTGTAGCCCAGGCTGGTCTTGAACTCCCAATGATCCTCTTGCCTCAGCCTCCTGAGTGGTATGAGCCACCATGCCCGGCTATCTTTAGGTTTTTATTTTCAGGTTTTAAGTTTTCCTATGTAGTGCATTTATATGCATTTAGTTTTGCTTTATATTAGCATGTTTAGTTTCTGATAATCATTTGGGACTTTGGGGAGTACTAGGTGATTTTGTTTAAAAGCTTGATATTTTCCGTTATTTGTGAGTTGTTGATAGAAGAAAGCCTAATGTGCACTGAGAAACCTATAGCAGATTCCCCTAGTCTAGCTGTTGCTTTTTAGAAAGATGTGGAATTACCTTCTTGGCAGTTTTGAGGTGCTAAAGTTAAATTGGGTTGTGAATTTATTTCATTTCTTATTAACCTAATGTTTGAAGTATGCTGCTACTTTTTAAAAATCTCTTTGCTAGATGGTCCACTTTTGGTAATGTGAAACTATCTTGTATTTGTGTTTTCAGTCAGGACTTGTTATAGTGTATATTCCTTACTCTGTTTCCTTTTGGCAAATTTAAATATAAGTAAATTCTGTGATTTTGGAGACTGTAAAGTAGGTGGAAATCCATCCTTGCATGCATTGCTACCTGTACCTAGTTAAATATGAAAGCTAATATAGGAGCAAATACTTAACTGTACTTTTTTTTGAGATAAGATCTAGCTAGTGCAGACTGGTCTTGAACTCACGTATGTAGCCCCGGCTGACTTCAAACTCACAATGATCTTCCTGCCTCAGCCTCTCTATGTTGAAATTATGGGTGTGTCCCACCATGCCTGGCCTACTTACAATACTTACTATGTGCCAAGTACTGCCTCAACAGCAACACAAGCAATAAAAAATGAATTTGATTTTTAAAATAGGGATATTGATTAGCAAACCTGTTTTTAATCAGTTCACTGCATTAATGTACATTCGGCATTCTCTACTTACAAGCAATATTGACTAATGGCCATTGCATTGCTCCCACAGGTTATAGACTTGCCAAAGATCACTTTTCAACTTGCATTTGTATTAACAGTTACATAATTTAATACAAAGTTGCATAAGCCAATAAAATCTGATTACAAAATGAAAGAATTTTTTCTTTGAAAAGCAATTTAATTGCCCTAGAAGGACTAAATATAAAGTATGTCAATAAGGAGATCTGTTTAAAAAATACATATATATGTCTCCTAGGGATTGAACCAAAGGCTTTGTACATGCTAAGCAGAACTGTACCCTAGCATTTCTCTAACCCTTATAATTTCTTTTTTTAAAATCTGGAAGATTTTTTAGATCATTGACAAGTATTTTTTTTAAGTTCTCACTTTTTAAAGAAATTGAAACTGAAAATGGTAGATGACGTATTATGGGTGTGGTTTGTGAGACTGCTGTCAGTAGACTTATAACTCAGAAAGCCTACCTCAGGGCAGGAGGATTACTGTGAGTTTGGGGCCAGCCTGGGCTACATAGTAAATTCAAGATCAGCTTGAACGCCACAGGGAGACCCTGTCTTGACCAATAGAGCAAGGCCTACATAGACTAGCAAAAAGAACCTACATTTAGGGCTGACAGTGTAGCTCCATGGTAGAGTACTGCATGTACAAAGGGCTAGTCCCCAGCATTAAAAACACCAAAGATTTCATTTTCACTTTTTGTAAACTTGTAAGTCAGATAAGAGATCACCTTATATAATAGAATTAGACTTCTGAAAAGATGTTTTAGAAGCTGATGCTTTTCTTCAAGTCATGTAATTAATTGTAGTTGGAAGGTTTCAGATATAGATCTCAATGTTAAGATTTTCTGTGTACTGAAACTATTTACATTTAAAGAAATAGGTTTAGGTATTTTACATTTAGTATATGCTAGATAATACTCAATAAACATAGATGCCAAAAAATAGTCTCCACTTTCCTGATGTATTTAAGGAGCTGTTGATAAATTCGTTATTATACTTGCTTTCATGTTGTACTCTTCCTTTCATTCATTTTAGTATTTATCTGTGGTACAAGGCAGTGGACCCAGAGCTTTACACTGAGCTACATCATCAGCTCTTATTTATTTACTTACTTATTTGGTACCAGGCATCAAAGTTACCACCTCATGCTTTCCATGCAGGCCCTTGTGCCACTGAGCTAAATCTCAGCCCTTTCTGTATTTTTTGAGATAAGATTTTTCTAAGACATTAAATTACCCAGGCTGGGCTTGAATTTGCGTTTTCCTGCCTCAGCCTCCCAGAGTGCTGGGATTACAGGCATGTAAAATGTTAGAGTATTCTGGCACAATAGAGAAGCAAAAGTACAAAATGAACAGTTTTATTGAGTTGAGGACATGGAAAGGAGCACATGACCCATGGTTGCTGGGCTCCCACTAGATACAGAGAAGCAGAGGGTTATAGGACCTCTGATTGAAGTGGCGCATGAGGCAGATAATGATGATGAGTGAGGAACCGATTGGAATTCTCTGTGCATGCAAACAGGAAGGGGAGTTGCAGTTAGGGCTGAAGAAGAAGCAGGAAGTGATAAACATTCACTTTGGCCTTCCACCACGGTAGACCATCGCCATAACTATACAGTAATTTTTTTTTTTTTTGGTCTTTTTCTTTTTTATCGGTACCAGGGATCAAACTT